ACATTTTCATACCGTAACAGGGATCTCTCACAGGAAAACACTATCTGGTTTTAATGATGTGAATTTGGGGCTGTAATTTTTGGTATCGCACTAAAGTTGTCTTGAAAAGGCACCTCTTGCCTGGAGGATTCATAGTGATAACCATAACTCTTGTTTAATAAGATGAGGGCTAAAAGTTCAATTACAGTAACTTGATATTTTAATTTATGAAATTTAGAAATCACCCCCAAAAAGCAATAAATTTTAATTAGATTCAACAGAAACAATGTGGACATCGTGCTACATCAAAACTTTATTTATTTACAGAGAAGAGGTTCCACAATGGGCAAACAGCACTGCTTAGCAAAATGACCCTGAATACATTGATCATTGCTGTAATAATCAATTATTGGAATGTCATTATAATTGTGTGGTGGTCAAAGCTTTAGTAGAACTGTTCTTTCTTGTTTTTCCTCTTTCTCACCATTCTCCTTTCTTTTCTAAAATAAACAAAAAAAAAAAAAAAAGATTGAAATGACCTACAAGTTGTCATAGATGTTAAATGTTTTATCTGGAAAGATACTTCTAGATCAAGACTTGGACAAAGCTGTTATGGATTCCAGTTTCAAAACTCACTGATTTTTTTCCTGACTAAACATATCACTGATGATCCAATTACACGATGCAACATGCAGTACCCACCAACATATCTGCATATACATCAAAAGTGAACATTGTAATATTTACTCACCCTGTTCATTTCTGAAAGTTTTCCGTCTATTGTCATTTTCACTTTCAAGGCTCTTCAAAAATTCCACGAAAATACCAATAGGCTTTACCAGAGAGGTTTTCTTGAAAGCTTAAAATTCAGAGACCATAATGTATGTCAACAACTGATAACAATCTCAGTATCATGATGTTTATTAAGAATGGCTTATAAAGTTTACTATTGCTAATGAAAATATTCAGTTACTTAAATTTTGGTATAACAAATTGCAGGGGTCAGCAGCAAATAAACTCTAAAACCTCGAGAACTCAACCATGGAAATAATGGGCTCAAATGGAGACATAAACACCTTTTACATGAAAGCCTTTGATTTTTCAAATTTACTATCTACCATAGGGGTTAAATAGGTTGTCACAGTGTGAAACATAAACCACACCAAAATGGGAGTTTTACCGTGGCACTCTGTCATGATTTCTACAGACCTGCAAGGATTACCCCTCTAAAGCCTTGGAAATTTTAAATTGAAGGAGTTTTTGAAACAGGAATACTGGGAAAGGTTGAAGACCTGAAATCTCAGGAACAGGTCATAAGTTGAAAAAAAAAGTGAGCAAATTTTAACAACAGCTGATTACTACCTAGAAATTATTAGTTTGCTACAATTAACTGTTCTTCATGTACCTGGGATCTTTTTCTTTTCATCTTCAATCATGTCTGGTGTATTTTTATCATGTTGATCAATTTCTTCGCAAAGTTGACTAGAAGGCAATACAATTTAAAGAAGTTCTCAGTCACCAAATCAAAGTCAGTATGTGATCCAAGTCAGTGGGGAGTGCTCTGCATTGGAGTTTAAGAGAATTACTGGGCAATACAGGTATCATACCTTGGTGAGGTACCATTGAAACTGGCACAGGAATGGGGGAGTGAAAAGGACATTTAACACATACCTTATTGTTGGTACAGTAAATGGATCAAAGGTGTCAACCTCTTCCATGCTGATTGGTACACAGACACGACCTGGACAAGTGAAGCAGATTACTTTTGAAAATAATCAGCTAATTTCACTGAGTGACTGACTAACTCAATGACTGACCAGTGCAATTCATTTACTGATGTATGCGTGTAGGAACCAGTGAGCACTTGGTAATCTCAGTTTGTTGATTTTGAAGTCATTGTATGATTGCATTACTTCATAAAACATAAGTTTAGATTACACAAAGAGGCTTGGAATATCTTTACAAGAATGACTTACTGGTTGACTAACATTCTTCCCAACTTTGCATGCAAGCATGATCCAGTTGTGCAAATTTAAGTTATTGCTTCACATAAAAAAAAACCTTTTTTTTCTACAGGCATGTTTGCATGTTTCTTGTGGCTAACTAGAACAAAACTTCAATCCCCAAGAAATTAAGTAATGAGTCAGTATGTTAGATAACATTATTGTTTTTCCAGACCTGTCTTAGGATGAACACAGAATGGACTCTTCAGTAAATGATTAAGTCCTTTGGTGACATTGACATCAAGGCGAGGGAAACAGTACTGGAACATTATCTCATCTTTTGCTTCTTTTCTCTGCAAAATTATTAGTTAATGCTAATTTTCTAGTAAAGCTGTCTTTAAAGGTCACTAAAAAAGCCATTACAGTTAAAAACCTGATGGTTAAATTGAAAAGGTATTCAAATACGGAACTGAATTACAGAAAACATGCTGGAAAATCAGTTACTAATCATTAAGTAATTAACAACCGAAAAAAGTGCATTCATGATGAAACAACAAACCAAATGATTTACCTCGTTACAACTGTCAAATTTCATTTCAAGTTCATCCCATCTTTCCCTTGAAGTCTCTGTGGTTGTTGACCATGATGTGTTCAGTTCATTTCGAATAGCTTGTCATGTTAAGAAACCCCAGACAAGTTGTGAAATTTAAGTAACAGTTTTACTGTTAGCTCTTTAACTCCCAAGATCTGATTGTTAATTCTCCCCTCTAGCTGCTACACATATCCATGTAAATTAGTTATGAGAATTTGGTGTAAGATCAAGATAACAACTTCTACCTGATAAGTTTGAATATTCTCATCACCTGTTCGCTGGATAATTTAAGGATATTATAGGGAGAAGTTCCATGTTGATCACTTCTGGGAGTTAAAGGGTTAATGCACCAAGAGGGTATAAAATTAGCAGACTATCAGATGATCTAGTGACTAGTAGTATATCATGATGGGAACAAATTTGTTGTACAATTCATAGCAAAACTTCACCAAACAACAGCTCAAGAACCAACTTCAGTTAAATGAAGTTGATGAAGGATACAATCAGGTACAAGAGCAAGCATTCCTTCCCATTGTTCTTTGCAAGACAACACCTCTTGGTTTTCAATTACAAGGTCAACAAAGTGGGCCTCAAGAATTTCTAAAGATTTGCTGGAAAAGATTGAAAGAAAATGCAATTTCATCACAGGTATAAACTCATCATGATGATAATCAACCAGGCGGCACAATTTTAGGGAAAGCAAGTAACCAAAATACCTGATGTATGGATGGTAAGGTGAATGGAGATTAACTTTCTTCAGTTGATTTTCACCACCCTGTATCAAGATGAGAAAAACAGTGAGCCACAATTTTCATTCAACAAGAACAGTAACAATAGAGAGGCCATGACCTTTAAAATTAACTTTGAATAAAATTTGAACAAAGCTTATGGAATAAGCACCTTGATGACACTGAGATACTCTGCAACAGCAGAACGCGCATTCTGTGAAAGTTTCCGTGCAGATTCATCACACACCCAACAGTGAACACCACGACGACCACTGTACACCCACAGTCTATGTTGGAAGCCAAAATCCTCTGCAGGACAAAATGGTAACTTTAACTATTTTAGTTTTGTATTTTCAAGGGCAAAATATCTTTAATAAACCAACACAACTTATCAATGACAAATTTAGAGGAAAAGGAATAGCTTGCAACTCAGTAAACACACAAACATAGTGATGTTAAGGTTGACTGATATAGTTTCCAATGGTATTTCAGGGTTTATATGCATTTTGCTTTTTAAAAGTAAGTCTTTAGGAACTTTTAAGAACAATTAAAAGAATTTTTTTACAATGATACACTGCAAACAGCAGATAACTTTTACAAACCAAGACTATATGCTACTTTATCCAGATAATCTCTAATTTCTATATTTTTTAAGGAAAACTACTTTGCCAATTACACTTTTTCAAGAATAGCCCTTTCACAGTTCCTAGCATCATATTGGGCATGTAATCAAGGCTGGGGTTGACAAGTGTTATATCTTGGTGAGCAATTTTGGTGAAATTCACACATGGGCAGCAAAACTGTTTGATTTTTAAGGAAAATGGATGGTCCCAACTGAAATATCGTTTAAGCTAATTTTTTTTCTGAAAAAAAAAAAAAAGAAAAAAAAAAAAAAAAAAAAGCATTGTGCCTCTTTTGGTTGTTCAAATACATTTTATGGCCTTGGTGGTTTGCCTATGAGCTTCCACTTCTTCAAGATTATGCACATAAGCATATATTTTTGCTAAGTATTTATTGATCTGTACTTATTTTATTCTCTGTAAATTATGAATGAGAGTAACTATTGACACAAAATTAGTTAAAATTATCCCTTAGGTACTTGAATAGTATTAAATTTAATAGAGTTTTTTATTCTGGCAGGAAGTCAATAAGCTCAGCACTGCTCATCTGTTTACTTCATGGCTTGCCAAAACAACTGCCAGCTGAGAAACTTTTGGAAATTAATTGCTTTTAATAAAATAACCAAGACACTGTATCTCCAGATTTGTCACCTATTATGGCAGACCCAGAAAACTGACACAAATTAAGTCGCAATTGTGACAAAAGAAGTTTTCAGTTGTTGGCTTTTTTTTAATATCACAATAATCCACTTAGGATGATGCCAGGTGGAACTCTCAAAAAATATTTTGTGTGCTTCATGTATCAATCAATTTGATGCTTCAAATTGAAAAAAAGGCAAAGTTAGTTTCACCAACAAAAAGAGACCTCAACACAAAGATGAACTATAACACTAAACTTTATCATTTTCAAAATTGTCCACATAATAAATACTTTGATACAAGTCTCTCAAAAAGTAATTTCTCACACAAGGTGATAGTCCAAAAGGTTCTCTTTCAAACAAATCTTGTGATAACTGTAACAGTATAAAATAAATATCTTGAATGGGATATATTTCTCAATATTCTTTACAAATAGAAACATACATCTCAAAATTATATTATCATAACATTGGTTAACACAATGCTACTAGAACTACTACAGCAAACCTTTGTGTCAGAAGGCCTCTGACCAATATGAATAGGAATATCAATTCACTGAATTTTAATCGCTGATAGAAACTTAAATGTGTTAAAAGGACTAGCATTGTTGAGATCAGTAGCTGAGAGGAAGCATTTCAGTCCTCTTCCTTTAACCCCTAAATACCCAAGATCTGTCTGTTAATTCTCCCTTCTAGCTGCTACATATTTACTTGTGAATAAGTTATGAGAATTTGATGTAAGATCAAGATAACTTCCACCTGGTAAGTTTCAGTATTCTCAATATCTGTTTGTTAGAAAGTGTTTGGATATTACATGGAGAAGTTACATGAATCAATCACTTTTGGGAGTTGTTAATTAAAATTGTCTAATATTTTAGTCTGATTCTTTCATTGCGATCTTGCCACCCACTAAATTATGATGAATCGTGAACTGAAATTGTTTTCAATATATCACAAGCATAATTTGTTCAGGGCCAGATGGGTATCAAAACGTTATGACATCTCTTAGTATCCAGTTTCCCTCATGGGTTGATGGAAAGAAGGGTTAAATCAAGTGGTTCTACAGGCCCTATTGCATAGTTTCCCATAAGATACAATGTACAAATGGCAAAAATAGGGCTATTACACAAACTGACATTAAATTGTAATATTTTACTGTGCCTCATGACCTCTCTCCAATATAGTGTACATGACTAATGTTACGTAAAAACATTGCACTTAATCTTACCTTCAAGAGCTCTATCAACTATCTTCATTGCAACAACCATAAACTTCCAACATTTCTTGCAAATGTCTGCACCTCTGAATAAATGAAAGAAAGAGGAAGTAATCAATCTAAACATCAATCAGTCATCAGAGTTCCTTTTATACCCTCACTAATTAGCTGCTCTTTTTTGGATGAGGTGTAAATATGCATCAGGAAGTAAGCTGGCATCATCACAATTTAAAGGATTGTGGGCAGAGCTGATATGCCAGGCTTCTAAACAAAGGTGCTAGTGGTAACACAGATTATTGGTGACAATTTTAGACTTATCCCACCCAATTGTCTGGTTAGTTAGGCATGCATGCTCTGATAAAGCTGAATTTTCTTTTTTTCAAAAGAAAACTGCTCTTTGACGCTCTTTCAAACGTGTACCAAACTGACATCTGGTCTGTCCAATGTACTTGTTATCAAAGTCATTGCATGGAATAGAATAAAAAGCATCTGTTCGTTGTTCTTTCCTGACAGAATTCTTAGGTTTGGCAAAAGTATACCCCAAAATCTGAAAAGGTTTTTGAGCAACTTTAACATTGTAGCTATTCAAAATTCTCTTGATGGGTTCTGTAACACCCTGAATGTAGGGAATAAAAGCAAAACCAGTCACTGTTTCCCTCTCATTGGGAGTGCTACTAGTTGTAACTGGTTTTTGGCAGTTATGGAGAAAGGTTTTGGTATAGCCATTCGCCTTTAAGACATTAGAAACATATTTCCTCTCCTCAGCCTTCGAATCAAGTGAAAATGGTAGACAGTCAGCCCTCCTGAGTAAAGTTTTGGCTACAGACTTTTTATGGCAAATAGGGTGGTGTGATTTGAAAACGGGGTATTTGTCAGTGTGGGTGGTTTACAATAGACACATCTTGAAATTCCCTTGTTCCCCTTTGTACACATTTAAATCAAGAAAGGGCAAATGTCTATCCTTTTCACACTCAAGGGTGAACTGATTGAACTACCTGAGCAGGCAATATAAGTCCATCTTACCCATTTGGGATTACCCCTTTGATCCAGTGTGAGAAGAAAGATCACTTGAAATGGACATACAATGCTCGTAATTTTTGGACAAAAACAGTTGGCTTTCTTTTCTGTCTTTCAAAATCTTCAAAAATTTGAAATTGTCTTCAATGATCTTTCTGCTATATGATAAATCCCTTGTTGTCTGCTGTGTACTCGTATGGAGACACTCTCTCTTTAATTACTTTCTTCATTCATCAATCAGGTGTCTTATAAGCTGGCACAAACGCGTTAATTGATTACAGTACTTTCACATCATTCAGTAGGCCTACAATGGCATCACTGACATTGGTACAAGTACGTTTACTATGTTCTCAATAAACTACATCGACCAAGCCTTTTTATCTTTCCCGTCTTCATCTCGGTTCAGAAAAAACGTAAAAGAAAGAACTCGGCCGATATCTAGCCATCTTGATCTCACGCTCGGTCAATAACATATATCTGGACTGTCAGACAGGTGACCTGTCCGCAATGTTTCTCTTCAATATCTAATAAATAAACGATGAGACAAAATTTTTGCATCATCTAATATTTTACAAAAGAGAACTCACTTGCAACATGTCCTAACTTCATCATAATCTGTCATGTCAATGTCAAATACTAACTCCTTCTCTTCAGCCTGAAAAGCTCCAGGTTTGATCATTTTGTGGTCCTTTGGCTGAAAGAATGGAGTACGTTTTTGTTTAATTCCTGTTATTCTTAAACCGTTTAATAGCTTCTTAAACGATAATAAACTATCTTTCACCAGAAGAATACAATGACATGTATGCTCAGATGAGAAACTTGCCTTATGTGAGAAGACGGCTCCGATGTCAATCTTGTATGGATTTCGTTTGATGATTTCCTTTTCCAGTTCTTGCTGATCGGCAAATGATTGATACCGCAAGTAAACGTCATCTTTCAACGTGAAAGAGAATTCTCGGTGGAGAAAATAATTCTTGGGTACTGAGAAATCAACGTAGAAGGAAACATCAACTAGTGAAAAACAAGCTACGATGAAGACTAAAGGTCAACGTCTTATCAACCAAATATTGTTTGGTGTTCTTTAAAAATTCTGACCTCCTCCATACGATAACCACTGAAAGAAATACTTGTAAGGAAATAATCTCTTATAGTATTGATTCAGCAATTCAGGGAGATCTGAATGACTAAACCGCGAAGAGTTCTGACTCGTCTGTGAATCGTCCGCCATCTTAAGAAATAGATTTCGCGCCAAAATTAGCCGCTGACCACCAATATAATTTTTGGCGCCAATTGTGAATACTTACGATATACTTGGTGAGAAGGGTCGAAATTTTGGAGTCCATCTCAACTGGTAGGATACTCGTCGCAAAATTATGCTGTCTGATGTGATTGACAATTACAGTTGACTTCTGAAATTTTTTATTCTTCACAGCTGTCAACCAACAAGTTCTCTCTTTCCCCATGGAAGACAAGGCTTGATGCATGACAAGACCAAATGACTTCTCAACGATTGTCACAGAGTCATCTGTATAATGTCGTGCAATATTTAAGGGCTGGAACAGACAAATCACGATATTACCTGACATTTTTGGGAGTTTTAATTTCTGCGAATTTTTCTTCAATCCAATGGAAAAATCCTGCAAAATAAACACATCAGGGATTTTTTTTTAGGAGAGGGGTAGGGGGTATATACGTAGATTTGGATTGATTCTGTTAGTAATAGTAGGAAGTTGAGTGCTGTATAATTCAACAAGTAAGGCTATCCCTATAAAATTTTTTGTTATAAATTGTCTCCGCTTTTGCAGAAGTGGTCAGTCAGTCAGGCAAAATAAAACCGAAAGAAGCAACCTGGGCTTATTTCATGGTTAAACCTTTAACTTAAAGGTGTGAAATGATGCTAAAAACAACTGACATGATGTCTTGAAATGACATTACTGCATATTCTAAGGGTGCATCCATATTACATGTTAATGATTAAGTATCTTAAAAGTAAGACATTGTAATCACTATCAGAGGTTTAATGAAAGAAATCAATCTTGGAAATCATTTCTTTTATTTGCTGCATTTTCCCTTACATTATATATAACCAACACTCAATGTTAAATAACAAGAAAAGTACACTTGTAGCTTATGTTATTGTTTATCCTTGTTGAAACACTTTGATCTAGGAATAATTGCAAAAATGAAGACCCTCCAATTATCTATTTGCATTTCCTCCACTACATACAAAAATAAGTACAATTGAACACTAAGAAAATAGAAAATGTGCCTTTGAATATAAAAGTGAGTTAGCCAAAACAGAAATTTCAGACCATTAGATTTTCTGGATCATTTTCTGGACCATCTTAACAAAGGAATTGTTATGCATGATTTTTTTTGTCAAAATTTGGTACTTAAATCATCTGTGATCTGACATCTTTTAATGAACATAAATGTACTTAAAACATTTCACACAAATGGTTCATAATCATCATTAATCAACCACAATTGTGGATGCAACCATCTTCATGTCTATAACATGTTTCTATATACTCAGGTTTACAACAGCAGTTACAATTTCATATATGTGTTTCTAGGACTCCCATTTTCAAAGCAGTAGGGGTGATTTAATGAATGATACCCATTAACTTTGATCAATCTCTAGGCTCACAATTAAGAGAAAAGTAGAATATCAGCGGTGCAGAACACAATCTGATTTTCTGATACATCCTTCAGCTGCTCTCACTAATACACATAGTACATTAACTAAGCATTTGCCCTACCAGCAATATTACTCTGACTAGAGAATACATGAATAATATTTTGTTTAGAGAGACAAACAAAGGAAAATCTCTTAAATGGAATGAGAAAACAAATGAACTAGAAAACTCTCTACTAAGTGTGCATTGTTACATATGTAAACTGAAACCAGTATACACTATTGCTCAGTTGAGGCAGCCACCTGAAATAGGAAAAAAGAATATGATTCTAAAAATTAATGAAATCATTTGCTTACTTAAGAGAGTGATAGAATTAAAGATAAACAATCAAATTAAGAAAACTTATCAAGAATTAATGTGGTGCAAGTGTGATCAATAAGATTTCAGGAAGAAAACAACATTCAATACATACTCTCTTCCTCACTTCAGTTTGGTCTGTTTTATTTCCTTCATTTTCCTTTATTACTTCCTTTCCATCTCCTCCATCACCATCATCCTCTTCCTCTGGCTCTTCTTTGATCACTTTCCTCATTGGTTGTACTGGGACTGGATAAGAGGGAGCCCCCAAAATACAGTCTGACAAAAATACTATACCCTGTTCACAACAGAAAGAAGACAAATGCTTCCTCAGTCTCTTGGTTTGCCAGATGAAACTTTCAGTGGTAAGTTTATGCCTGGTATCAGAAAAAAGATCTCACAATGGAAATCTTACGATACTTTTCCACTCTTAGAATTATTACTTATAGATGTTTGTTGCATAATTATATTACACTATTCAGTACCAAAACACAGTTGAACTTGTATTAAGCAGTCAGCTGTCAAAGTCTTGAAATTTTTTCCTCTTCATTACTGTAATTTTCACCTCTATTTAACAGCCATGATCACCTTTGACTGAGTCACAATGACCTGTGTTTGTTGTCTTCCACCTGTGTTGGATTTCCACTTAAACAGAACCACTCAAATAAAACTAAGGATAATCTGTTTCATAAAATGGATTCCATGTTTATCTGTAGTCTCCCAAAATCAATGATGGTAGTTTAAGTTCAAATTTCCTCACACATTTCAGATATCTTTCTCCTTTGGACAACAAGCACAGATTTTATGCAAGAACATCATGCAAGCCATCTGCTGGTCAACCTGTATAAAGCCATTAGCCTGTATTAAGTGGTCAGCCTGTATTAAGCTTGAACTAGGACTATTTTTGTAGAAATTATCACCCACCATTCCAAGAAGAAGTCCTGTGGCTACAACCACCACACCAAATATAGTGTATGAGCCCCACACTGGCACACCATATGTCACTGTCAGAAGCTCATGTAGGTTCTGTAAGGAAAGTACAATTCTTGCTTGTGGTTTAATTGGTTGCTGTAAATAACATCTCCTAATACTATGACTACATGCATGTTGTACATTTGAATGGAATTTGAGTTTGAAAAAATTAAATTTAATTACTCAATTCGACCAGCAATCATTTGAAAAATTAGTATCACAGCCATAAAGGCAATGGTCTCACTCTTAAAAATGAATCCTTTTCCCCCTCCTAAATAAAATCCCTTGTATTTCTCCTGGGAGATTCACACAGTTAGTGAGCCACACAATACACTTGCCTCATAAATACATTTGGTAAAAAACATGATGTTCTTTAATTTGGTCATACAGATACCTGCAGTAGCACAGACAACTTAAACATCAGTCCAAGAAATCCCATCCTGAGGAAAGAATATTCATTTTTTGAATTGATAATTGATGGTTTGCTCACAAATGAACTGGATAATTAAGTCATTTACAAGGCTAGTTTGAACACTACTTCAAGTAAATTAAATGTTCAGTTTGTTAGACACCTGGGAGCCACCTCTGGACACTACATAATTGAGTGGCAAATCCTGGTGCTGTACGACTCTACTTGCATGGCAGATTACCTAGTAACCTAGCAATGAGCTCCAATGAAGTAAAAAGGACATCCACCCATAATGCAAAATCAACACAAATAATAAGAATCCAGTTTGTTCATACAAATAATCAGGAAACTGCTCCATCAGGGCCCAGTTGTTTGAAGGCCAATTAGCACTAACCCAGGATAAAATTTTAAACTAAGTTTCTTTATTCCTTTGTTCAAATTCCCCTTTGGAAAATTTCTCTCTGTTCTTTTTAGAGCATCCAATCATCAAATTGTACAAAAAAAATACAGTGAAATTTCCTTTAAAGCTTTCAGATTTTAAGTCAGATTTCAAGTCAGATTTCACATTAAACCTGGGTTATCTTAATCCAGCTTTGAATAACCCTGGCCCAGGAGATTAAATATTATTAACAAATTCAGATGTACATACAGATATGAACCTGGAGATTTCCACCAAGGTAAAGGTTCAATGTCCCTCCATTTCTGATCCTTTATAAAAGCCATAAATCCCTTCAATGACCTTGATCCTTTGAACAAGCGAAACTCACCATTCTTCACACTGGAGATCAATGACAATAATTTAGATTTATACTACTGTAACTATATCTGATGTAAGATGATTTTTGGTTCAGTCAACTGAGTTGATAACAGTAATGTAAATTGGCCACTGTAACTGACATTTCAACTGTTAGTCCTTCATCAGATGTTTTGTTCAAGTGGGCCACCACCACACCCAGCAAATTCATTAACAGTCATCACTACCAACATCACAGAAGGAAAATACCAATGGCATTCCATTCACTTTAACATTTAATCCTCACAGCCACCCAGTTACCTCCCATCATTCTTAAAAACCTTATATCACTACAAAATAGCTAAGAGACTGGTACTATCTTTTTGCAACCTCCACTAATTTCATTCAGATGCAACAAAAACATAGGCAACTTTTTGGTCAGAAGTGCATTAAACTATTGACTAATCGAGAACTTTCAAATATAACTGTGCTCTATGCAACACTTGTCCTTTAATTAATAATGTAGAGAAAATGTCAAGACCTGAAAGATCCATCCAGATCACTTCATGTGCACCTCCACCAATATCACCAATTGCATAACTTGAACTTATTGCCAAAAGGTATACACAACTTGGTGATTGAATCCAAGAACATCTTCAAAGGGTAGAAAGGAATGACAAGGATGTGTCCTAACCAGTTGCTAGACACTTAAATCTCCCTACACATTCTAGACAGCACATGGCAGTGTGCAGCCTTTCTTTACATCTAGGCAGTTTGGAAAGCTGCAAAACCCTATAACAAAAATTTATCTTTCAAATCCACACTTTTAGACCCCACGGCATCAACAAGCTCTTTTCGTTCACCTAATTTATTTTTGTTTTCTTGTCACCATAATCTCATCAAAAACAGAATCCATCCTCTGCATATATATAAACACACACTACTCATAATTCCTCCATACACTTTGATGAGAGGCTAACACTTGAAATGTCAGCCTTAAAACTCTTTACAGTGGCTGATTTACATTACTAACGCACTTGATAAAACCAAAATCATCTTGTTATACTCCCCCACCAATGCAGAAACACAAACCCTTTTATTCATATATCCAATGAAGACATCTTACGGCAGACTTCCTTTATATTCAGAGAAAAGGGATCAGCCCTTTTTTCTTCTTGGGCACAACACATCCATTTTGGTCACAATCTTGTCTCAATTAGAACTCATGCTTCAGATCAAGAGAAAACAGGCCACTAGTAGTCCACACTTGGCATCAAAAGAGGAGTGATTACAAGAGATAAATATTAATCAGTATTAACCCTTACAAGACAAGAAGTAAACAATTAGTCTTTTAAAAATTTAATCTATCAGAGTGTATTAAATGCAGTTTTCATACTTACTGGTAAATAGTTGGTAATGATAAAACCATGAATCTTCCACTAAGTGCTAAAAGAGAAGTTTAATGATTTGCATTTTTAAGATTTCCACTGCAGTAAATTGTGGCTTTAAAACAATGCAATAGAAACTTAGCAAAAATATTGGCCTTCACTTTGTTGGCCTCATAAATGACACAATATACCTGTTAGAACTTACACAATCACTTTAAAACAATGTTGCTTGGCACTATTAGGAGCAATCAGCTTCTTAGGAGTTCTCCAGATTTCCTGAGTGTATTTCAAAACATGGAGCAACTGATGCAAAGCACTAAAGGTTGACTATTTCATTTGTTTTAAAAACAGCTGCTAAAAATTGTTGAGAGTAGTCCACTTTATTTTGATAGAAGGTGAAAAAAACAGAAGAGCATACAGTAACCTTACCAGGTTCTATGGTTGTATCCACTTCTCCAACATTTATCCCAAGTTCATCAGCTTTCAAAGCTAATTTGGACCACACAGGACCTACTTGCTGACAGGCAGGACACCACGGGGCAAAACTATTGTAAAGGAACACCAAAAAAATAAACAAAAAGAAACACATACTGTCTATAAGAAAATTTTTGGGCGAGGGATTTCGATTCAGTTTACAGTGCAAATAAAGTGCATGAATTGCAACATTTGCAAATAGTAAAGCAAAGTGTTGTGGTCCTGGCAGGCCTTAGATGACTTTCAATCTCAAAAAACATTGTTAGGTAAGTCATTTACGTTGGTCTGCTTTCTTACAAAAATATGACTGGGACGAAAAATTTTGTTTGTTTAATAACTCATGGAAAAAAAAATGACGAAAAGAAGAGAAAGCTCCAAAAAATTAATCCAGATTAAATTATCCTGATCAATAAGCTTATCAGAAGTAAGTAAACTTTTATTCATACGTTTTTGGACTTTGCATGATTTGGTAGTGCATGGTGCATACCAGTTGACTTAACTGAACATTCCAGGAGGAGTGTTTGATTGTTATTCTCTCCACAGGAGGTAAAAAGGTGTATTTGAGCTTGAGCACTTGTAATGTATGCGTTGATACTTTGTTAGGAAAAACGTGATGAAATCTGGTCTGATTTTGAAACTCAGAGATTAAGATCACATACAAAGCTTGAACTAAATAAATTCGGATTTATTATTTGTAAAAACCATTAATCTAGAATGGCAAATGTAACGTTCCTGGGTAAGTGATTAAAACAATATTCTTAAAAATACGATGAATGTCAACGATCCAGCTAACGTTGATCCGGTCCTGGTATAATTTGAAGCCTGCCTTAGTGCCTGTGAAGCGTAAAAATTAATTTTACGTTAACTTTGCAAAGAAAAGCACCTTAATGATCGGCCGTGTCAAGGTTGTCTGATGACTGGGAAGGACACAGAGCGTCAGAAAGCTGCAGACAGCATAATTAACAACACCCAACATCAGACCATAACAAATAATTTATCACTCCGATCTTCTTTACTTACAATTTAACCATCCATTCCCCTTCTAGAATGTGGTGCCAGTTATCACTTGTAATATTCTTTACTGGAGGTATTACTGGAGACTTGGCTGAATGCAAAGGAAAAAATGAAATTATTTCTACAATGATTAATGCTGTGATTTTCGCTTTAATAATCACCGCCATGATTTTGTCCGTGAGCCTGCACTGTAGCTGGTCGAGTCTCAGAAATTTGACTCCTCTAAACATGCGTCAAAATTTTCAAAATGGCGTCTGTTTCTCGCTGTCGACTGTCGATATCTTCTCTACGGAGGTGCACGAGTTTACTATCGGTAAATCATCTGATCTTTTTGCTTTTGTAATAAAAGGAGCATTCAGCTAATTTTCTCATGATTTAATAGGTACAATCAAAGAATCACGGAGTTCAGTCGACTAAATGCATGAGGACGATATGCTGTGGTGACTCTTTGCTGCAAGCTACCAAAACTAGTCTGTGAGTATAAGCCGGTGATTCATTCGAATTTCATTCGTCTGTCATTGTCCGTTTTTCAAAGAGGAAATTTTGGGTTCTCCGAGTCCTCAAAGAAGATTTCCATTCCACTTCGCGTGGTCTATTTTAACAGTGTTACAAAGTAAGCAATATAAGAGAGCTGCAATAGAAGCTTTCAATGTGTTATGGAACACTGTTTGCTACTATGAACAAGACGTTGGACGCTCGCGTCTCAATAATCTGAAAGTAGTCACTAGTGACTACTCTAACCTTTTAACTCCCAAGAGTGACCAAGACAGAATTTTCCCCTTACAGTATCAGTACATTATCGGGCAGAAAAGTGATTAGAATAAAGAAAAATATCAATTAGGGGATTATAAGTTGATCCAATACCAAATTCTCTAAACTAACATCACAAGAACTTTACGGCAGACTGTAAGGAGAATTACTAATGAGACCGTTGGAGTTTAAGGATTAAGGAATTAAAATTTGACATACTTTCTGCTTCTACTGCTTGCCTTATACATACCAATTTTGTTTTTACCTAGAAATTGTATATAATTTTCTATGTTCAAATACAAGTTTTATGTACATAACATTTAATTTTCTTTTTTCTTCTCACTACCCACAAGCTTGTGGCTTAAAATATTATCGTGTATAAGTAAAGGTCATCTATCAATGTATGTTCTCTGTAGGGGAACATAAATATCCTTTTTTATATAGTAAGGTAAATTACACACACATTTTGATTGGTCATTACTTAGGATCTATTGGAGAACAGATGCATAAATGAGAGCATCATTGAGAATTCTTTGCTTCTGTATTTTTTTAAAACAAATGGATTCCATTTTGCCATGGGTCTGTACAGTAAAATATCACAGTTGACATCAAAATGTGATAAGAACATCAGTACAAATTCAGTTGCACCTCATGTGCTGGTTTGTTGTTCTTACTACATTTTGATGTCATCTGTGATCTTCTACTAGGGAGATGCATGGCAACATGGAATCTATTCATCAATTGTATGCAGAGTAGGGTAGCAAAAGTTATAATCAATTTTCCACTCAGTACGGTAGGTTTGCATAAGTTAATTAGGTGGCTGTGGTGTTTGAAATGTTCTGGTTGAACTTTGGGCTTTGCTGGCTTTGTCAGTTGTCAATTCAAGGTGCAACTGAGGAGACAATAATTATTACATTTACAGCAACTGGCCTACTAAAGAACCAAGTGGTGTATGTTAGGACTGAATCTCCATTGAACGATTCTCTTTAAATTTGATACTCAAGTCCATATACTCTTTGGGGAAATTTGCATACTTTAAAACAAATAGAGATCATTGTACAGATGCGAAATTAAAAAGTAAAGGGAAAAATAAATTAATTTAATTAATTTAAAGGAAAACAGTTCCACAGACATGTGTCATGATACAGGATAAATTCTACTTACTTTAACTATTCTGCTGTGTACCTGTGGCGAACAAGTTTTTTAGATTTAAAAAAATTCATATTTGCTTATATAACTTTATAATTTAGGGCACCAATTGTTGCCAATACTTAATATTGTCTTTGACCTATTCACTTTCAGTGTTCAAGCTGCCACAAAGAGATTCAGTTCTCAAATCTCAAAAAAATTTCTAGAAAAATTTCCACCAGTCCTCGGCTGCAATGTTCTATCTGTGATAGCTTCAGAAAACATTGTTGGCTCAAGTGAGCTGGAAGAGGGTGCAGAAAGTGAAGATGAAGCTACGAGTGGGAGAAAACGCATAATGTATTCGCATCCCTTGGATGATGTTCCATAACTGCTGCTGTAATTCTACTTCAAAAAAGAAGTGCCTTGGACTTTTAGTTTTTTATAATTTACTCAGTCATCTTTGTCATCTGCACTTAAGTGTGACTGTAAAGTAACATCTTTGAGCAAAAATTATCTATGAGTAAACAATTGCTATAACAACAGAATTTTTTTGTGTCGACCAATGGAACATTTGTTGAATTGTAGTTTTTTCAGCAGAATAAAATCAAGGAAATTTAATGATATTCTCACACTGCAGAGTTACATCAGGGTGAGGTTCAAGAAAAGCTTTTCATTTACCAGTAATTCCTCTTTGGCTTCACAACCAGTTAAATTTATACCTAAAATTTCTGTTATAAAATATGTGCTTATTGTTCATCGTTGTGTAAGATGGGAGATGAACTTTGTTTGTTTGTCTCTTGAGGGTCGCTTTTGATATAGATTGTGATGTTTTGACTGCAATACTGCTAGTCTTCATCAGGTGATGAGGTCAATTGTTTATGTTCTACTATTTCTAGCATGTTGGTATGCTGCTATTAGTGCATTCCAATCCTTGTTATTATTCCAGTTGTTAGATGGTGTTCCCCCATAGTTCCTCATAAATCAGCTGTGTTGTTTGATCATGGGTATCCAAGCTTCAGGACTGTCAATTCTGCTATCCCCATTGATGTCATTGGGATGAAGTCTTACATGGATGGCCTCTTTGATCTTACATGTGTGCTACTGGGGGTCATGATCAATAAACTTAACCTTGCTCCAAATAGGAATATGCCCCGTTTCGCTAGTGTGCTCCAAAACTGCAGAGGTATTGTTTGTTAAGATGTTCATTTCTTGAAATGTGAACTTAAACTCCTGTGTCATTTTCTCAGTTTCCAAATCAATGGCACATTAAATTTGTTGTTAAATTACTAGAGGAAAATTGTGTTCTCACCTGTTGGGGATTTTTTTTCTTTTTTTTCACTTTTTCTGCCTCATATCTGAAGCTCAAGAACCTGTTTGCACCAATTTTGTACTTTATTTTGATTGATTGTTAACATTCTCAGTTAAAATCATTTTGACTGGCTAGTAACAATTGTTGCTTAATATTTATTGAATGTTGAACTGCTAGTCTGAGAGCCATTTAACTTTAAGTAAAGGCTGTTAAGAACTAGATTCAATTTTTTTGTCATGAAAACAATTACACTTTAAGTATGGGTATCATTTTTCCTTTAATTAAGTTGACAAGAATAACCTTACTTGATTTTCAACTTTTGTTTTAATTGTACTCCTTCACAACAAATCATTTTCCCTTAGTTCACATGTGCATTTTAAGTGAACCATATTTAACAATCATCATCTTCAGGAAGATTAATTTTCTACTGAAAAAAAAGGATGTCAATTAAATAAAATGTGCTGAAGCGATACTGAATAGAACTCACTATTTAGAAAGTTTATTTGGAAATGAATTATTATGCCTGCTACTTTTTACATTTCTGTCACCAAAACTTAAAATACTGCAATGAAACACATTTAGGGGTGCTGCAAAAAGAATACTGAAGTTACAAAGTGACTACGTGTAGCTTGCTAAGCTAACTGTTACAGTCAATGTGTAATTATCTGGAACTGTTCCATTGTGGCATTACCACTCCTCTGGTTCTTCAAATGCCATGTCATCCTTCTTCATTTTCTTTTTAGCAGGTTCTGGAGATTCTTCATCATCCACTATCTCTCCATCTTCTAGTTCACTGCTTGGGCTTTCTTTGCTTTTATTTGCCTGTACTTCCAGGGGTGATGAAGTTTTGTATGCACTCATTTCCATTTGTCTACGTCTCTTTAGAGGAGTTTCTCTCTTGTATTCGATGCTTTCCCCGTACATAGCCTCAAGTTGCTTTGTATGCTCAGCATAAGAAACTATTGTATAACTCTCCCCTTCAAAATCCAGTTTATCAAGAACTTGGTGAGCATTTTCCCTTCTAGCAAGTGAGACAAAGGCAGAGGTGCTATTGATCCATGAGATATAGACAAATCCAAAGTCATTGAACAAATCAAGAATGTCTCCTTGTTTCCATTCACTTGGAAATGTCAAATAAAACACATGATCACGGGATGGACTCAAGTCAGGGCCAGCCAAGTTGAGATAAGGAATATCCTCCATTCTCATCACAAAAATTTTGTTTAAAAATGGAGCAACTAAGGAGGAATCTGGTGAGACATTGACCCTTGGAGGTTCTTGAAAAGAACCAAGATAGTTGGCCATAGAAATAAATGAAAGCCCTGTGATGTAAGCATCATAGGCAGCTTCATGAGGTTTCTCATCACTTTCACCATAGTGAGAAAACTTTTCATCAAATTTTACTGCAGCCTTTTGGAATGGCTTGTTTGAGACATGCTTTGCAAGATCTGCCAGTACTGATGATGGAATGAGATCTCTGAAAGGTTGCGTGTTAGCCATGACTTTCGTGTCAACAAGCTTCGGGAATACTGCACTTATGGTTCCTTTAAAATCTTCAAGGTATTCTGGAAGTGGGCACAAAAACTGATCAATTGTGTGAATCAAATCAAGAAACATATTGTGGCCCACCATCACTTTGCCAGACTGTGATATCATTTTCACAACTTGTGAAAATCCCACAGCATTTTCAATCAGTTCGTCTTCTTTGGCCTGTTTTTCATCTTCAAGTTTCTTTTTTTCGTCTTCATTGACTTTAGTTATTACAATAAAACGTTCTTTATTTTCGTTCATTGCAGCCTCCATGTGAATACCTGCCTTAAACCTCTGTTTGGCCGTTTGGTAGATCAGCTTCCTTAAGTAACCGTTGCATGGTGGAACCTGAGTGATCTTCCCCTCTGGATCTTTAAGCATTTCTTGTATACTTTCGCATGCTCTCTCCACAAAGTCACGGTGTTCCGGGGGGACTATCTTTAGCGCCTTCTGCGAGGATCCCCTGTTAGCTTCAGAAGTGGAGTCGGGGGAAGTAAGAGACGTCGATGTAAACGAATCTTGTGTGTTTCTTGATATGAAATGGTCTCTCAATTTCTGCTCGTCATGAGGCCGTAAATAGGAGATTCCTTCATAAAAAAGTTTATTGAAGTCGAAGTTGTGTTCTGTAAGAAAATCGATACTAGAACTTTGACACAGAAAACGGACATCAGGGCACTGTCGATTCCACACCTTGGGAAATATGTAAAAATTAAAAGGCTTTGCAATAAACAGCTCTAGCTTGTTGTCCCAAGCAAAGGTACATAAACCGAACTGAATTATGATAAAGTCTTTAGATCCTTCCTTCAGTTTTAAGTAACGCTCCTGCAGAGTATCAAATGAATTTTGAACTCCCCACTTCACATTTAGTCCCGAAAATTCGGCATCAATCGCAAGGAACGACGCGGAATTGATTGCTTCTGAGACAACAGAGAGCGACTCGTGAAAGCTCTTCCGCAATATTTCCATCACCAAACTTTGCGGATCGAGACTCCCGCCATGCAGACGATGAAAGCACGTTCACGAAAATTTCGTGATAATTTTAAACGATAAAGTAAGAAGTTCTGAGCACTACCGCATATTTTGTTACCACTGGCGCAAGATTTTCAGCAATTTTGACGTCACGTGGAAACTTATTTGCATTGCTCCACATCGAAGATCGCGAAGTCAAGGACTTAATCTTTTGAACTCATTAAACTTATCGATCTCCTCGAACTAGAGGACGCATAGACAAAAAAACACAGTTTTATTAGTAAGAAAAGAAAGGTATAAGTCAAGAGAGAGCAATGTTGCTTTCTGAGAGGACGGCCACAGTAAAAAATGTGTTTGTTGACATGATCTCCGCGGGCCGTTTCCAAGTGTTTATTTGGTGACAAGAACAATGACAGATGGTATGTAAGTCTTTTCAAGCAATTGAATGTGCTGTACTGCTCACCCACCGTGTATATACGCATATACATAGTCAGCTTCAGTCAGCTAGCTTTGATTTTATGTGGTTTGAACGCAAAATTAGTGCTAAAAACATAGGTTGGAACCTCGTACGTATTGTTTTAATTAGGAGTTCAGGAAACAATACACAATTTTACCCAAATCAGACATTCAGTAATTAAGCGCAATTCTGGATTGTTACTCCTTTTGGGCTCTATTCTGTGTGACTATCGAACTAACTTGGCTATTAATGATGGCAAATGGAAAGAGATAAGTTTCTACATAAACTGTGATGCTGCGTCGGTGGGAGGGGGGGGAGAGATAGTTTAGTTTTATCAACTGAATTGATAAATGATAGTGAATTGGCCATCGTAAAGAGTTACTTACGCTGACATTTAAAACATTGGTCCTTCGTCCGAATGAACAGATAAAGGCGACAATAAAACTATCAGTGACAAAGGATTTAACTTCCAGGCCAAAGTTACAGCTTGTTAAAAGCTCAGCCTCAATGTAAATATGTTCTCTTAGGATGGGGAGAAAGTTGCTTTTGTGGTGAATTTTAATTTTTTCTGCAAAATAATGGCAGATATCAAACAAACTTATTTTCTGGGTTTTGTTTTTAGTTTGCTTATTGGTTTGCTCTGGCTCAATTTGAAAAGAAGAGCTGTTTGGTTTTATTTGATAATCAAACTCAATTGAACACAGATGTATTACATTCCTGTTACCCATCTCAGCCTTGTCTGAATATTGACTTCTCATTTAACTTGACATTTCAGTTTGCGGCTCTGTATTCTTGATCTTTTATTCCCCATCCATGACTTCTCACTCATTCTTTGTTTTGAGTTTCTACATAACTGTAATCATACATGGAGTTTAACACAATGAAAAGTAAATAAATAATTAAACAGGAGCCTTCATTTGACACAAAAATGTGCTAGTTTATTTGTCCACAGACATGATGTGTTTCAAAGTGCAAACAGTTTTCTGAAAGCAAAGCTCAAGGAAAACTGTGAGCTTCGAGGAACAGATAATGTCTAAGAACAAATATATAAGCATATTTTTGCACCAAATGGAAGCTATTGTTTTTAGTATCCTCCAGTATTTTTGCAACACACTGGTAAAATGTTTATGAACTGTTTGCTACATGTGAGATGTTTGCTTTTGCGTTCTCTGGTAGAACCCTATGAACAAACAGACATGTCCCTTCTTTTGCATCAATAGGTAAATGCTCTCTCATCTTAAAATAAATTTTAATGAATGCTTTTATCACAAGGTTTGAAAATTGGTGAATATCACCAAGGGTATAACCAATATTCCTTAGTTTGAGCAGGGGTACAGTCAATCAAATGTGATGTATCTAGACCAATGTCACACAAACAAAAATATTTGATGGGTTACAATGTATAATGGTTATCGTTGTATCTCTCTGTTAGTACATCTGCTATGGTTCATCAGTTTAGAAGGCAGTATTGTACTCTATGGCTTAGTAAATTCAAAGTTTGTTTGAATTGAAAATTTCCCACTCTGTCTAAACTCAGAGATATTGAAAATATCTTACTATCCTTTTCTCAGTTTGTACAGTAAGTTGTGGAAGTTAGTTTTATCGCACAGATTTATGGCTTGAGTGCTTGGTGCTTGGGCCATAATTTGAGTGAAAAAAAACTAGTCAGTAACATACAGAACAGACCTTGAACTAGGTTAGTAAGAGGTAATTGGTAGGCTGAGTTTTAACCATAGATACAGGTACATATTGAATTTACAATGCCTTTCTCCAATCACTTTGTCTGTTTTCCTCTTTTTTTTAACCTTTAACCTTTAAGATGTACCTGGTCATTATGATGATGTTACAAAGTTTTATAGTTCATCTACACTGCCTAATCTTTGCCATAGTTCTCTTTAAGGTTGGGAAAAAACTCACACAGCATAATCTTTAAACTATGACGACAAACCTACAGGAAGCTTTAATGTTTGTGACTCAAGAATAATGATGAGGAACAGCAACACAAGTAGTGTTACAAGACAAGTACACTTTGCAAATGGTTTTCCACCAAAGGGTCTGGTGCAAGCTGTAGTTCCCTACCAACAGTCAACATCAGCTGTGAAGCACTATGTCAGCTTGGTAGGTTTTCAAATAATCTGCAGTGAACTCATTTAGTTCCAGGACTGACCAATAAGTATTTTCTCCCTTCAATATATTTGCAACATCAAGCAGACAATGGCAAAAATGAAAACATACATATCTCCTTTGAGAGATGTTATGTAATAGGTAAAGGTAGAGGTAAAGAATCTGCTCCTACCGACAAATCAGCTTACTGTTGACCGACTGTCAGCTGACTTGCTGGCTACCATTTATCCTTCTAATATATAAGATGTGTTGGTGGTGTGTCAGTGGTGTGTCACTGGTGTGTCACTGACTTTGTTTGGGCCTTATTTATGCAAAGCAATGCTAAACCTTCCTTTTCCACACTTATCTGTAACATCTTCTTTGGAAAACTTTCACTCGCGATATGAAAATGAATTATGTCCTTTTGGCCATCGTCTTGTTTGTCATGTTATTGGAACCCAGGAGCTAAAGGAGCTGGTTTTTTCGGTGACAAAACCCTCTACGAATAGAAGGCATCATCCACTGCCAGCAGCAACAGCTTCTTTGTGAGGTGAAGTCTTTTAACAACTGGAAGGAGTCCACCCAGCTGCTTCCAACATTCCTGCTCAATGGTTTTTTTGGCTAGCTAGGGGTTCCCTAGCCTCTCCAAGGTGCTTTGAAATGTCACCTGATTGACAATTCTCAGCTCCGCAATACCCAGGAAGTCCCTAATAGTGTTACATGCTGTTCCTGCCAGTCTATAGGCATTATTTTGGCTGCACTTCTTCTCCTGGAGGGTGGACAGCACAGCTGCGTAGCATCAATGAATTTCAGCTGGGTTGTTTTGGTGCACCTTCAAGAAGCCTCTTGGTTTGCAGTTTATGGTACCTCAGGATTCTGCAATGCTCGGAGCTGCCGTTCAAGGGCATTAATCTGCTTATCCTTTTCCTTAATCTCCTCTTTGTAGGCAGCAACACGCTCCTCACTTTACTGCCATCTCGTCAGCATCTTGCTGGGCCTGATTTAGCTGCTCATCCTTGTCTTGGCAGCTCTCTTTTAATTCATCATACTGGGCCTTGATAGTTTTGTAGGCTTTGCCGAGTTGCTGGTTTTTTTGTGTCAGCTGCCTACAAATGGCTTTATAGTTTGGCTCAGTTTCTGGAGACTTTGGCTGTTCTGCGGCTCTCTTTCCTATTTTCTGCCTCAGCTGGTGCCTGTTGACAATTGCATTCATAACTGTCACCACTACATGAGCTGCACATAGCTAAACAGTGCATTCAAGTGTGACCAGCTTGACCACAGACAGTACAGATCGAGGGATCTAACATTCCATTAAGTACCTTGCTACATCTTATGTTCTTATGGGCTATGCAGATTTCAGGGAGCAAAATCTCATGGCTTACCAGTCTTTCAAAACCTATTAAGTGGGTAGTGAGATCAATCTGTTCCAACAAGATCCTGAATGCTGAAATTAAACTTGGAGGTTTAAGAAAGACCATGGAGATAGATGAGTCTAAGTTTGGTGACAAGGGTAAATAGAAGAGAGGGAGAGTATCGGAAGGTCCATGGGTGTTTTCGGGGTTGTGGAGCAAGGGTAGCAGAAGGTGCTGGTCTTCCATGTTCCCAACAGAACTAGAGAGACACACGTGCATTATCTTATCACACATCCTTCCTGGAACTACCATCTACTCAGATCAATTCACTCTGTACATACCACTCAATCAGCTAGGATACATCCATCTATTGATGAACCACTCCAAGAACTTTGTTGAGCCTGACAGTGGTGCACACACCAATACCATCAAAGGCGTTTGGGCCTTGATCAAGAAGAAGTTGAGGTGCATGTGTGGTACTTTGTATGAGTACATACTGAGCTATTTAGATGAGTTCACCTGGTTCAGGAACTTTGGAAGACAGCTGCTTGAAGACATTACCAAACAGTTTCCAGTGCAGTAAAACTGCAATTAAAAACAGCTCCTTAGGAGCCACCACATATTCAAAAGTCAGTGATCAATAAAGATTTTTTGCTTCCTAATCATGCTAATAAACAAAAAGTAAACATGTTGGTGAGATCAGTGTCAGCCGACATGCTAACTTCCTCGGTTAAGTACCCTTAAAAAAAAAAAAACCCAGGAGAAGACCTAGGTACTAGTATTTCATTCTCAAAATGGTGGTGAGTTAGATTTCTTTTCCTACGAAGCTGATCTTGCCTCCAACACTATGTAGTGTTTTGTCCTCAAAATGGCAACGATGTAGAGTTCCTTTTCTTATACGGTCAATCTTACCAACGCGTTGGTCGATCTTACCAACATGCAACATGCTGACTCCTTTGGTATCCAACCCTTGAAAAAAAAAAAGAAACTAGGAGATGACCTGGGTATTAGTGTTTCATTCTCAAAATGGTGGTGATTTAGATTTCTTTTCCTACATAGCTGGTCTTATGCATTCGATCCTACCAACTCATCTATAGTGTGCCAGCTGATGCATCAGTAGTGTGTTGGCCAACATGTTGGTAGTGTGTTGGCCAACATGTTGGTAGTGTGTTGGCCAACGTGTTGGTAGTGTGTCAGTAGTGTGTTGGCCCACATGTTGGCTGCCATGTTGGCCGACATGTTGGTAGGATTGGATTCTTTACTTTTATCATGAACATTAATGTATGGCAGCTGCACTTAAGAATAACCATTTGAACATTTCATCTAGTGAAATGATCTTAGTCATCAATCATCCTGTTGTTGGTAAGTGACTCCAGCTTTCCAACATTATGGGACTAAATAATGTACTATTAACACAAGCTTCTCTTGTTTTGATAAGCTTTTCTTTTTACCACCAAAAATTTGGCATTTGTACTTTCTATTGTGGTGTTCTTTATTACAGTATAACAGCACTGTGAAAGTAACACTAACAGAAAATATTTAAAAATCTCATTGTCTTCTATTATCTTAGGATGAAGTTTCACCTGGCCAGATTAGAAGAACACACCGAACAATTCCACCTCTGGCCATGGGGCGTGGTCAGTTCTGTAGCATCAGAGCTAGACCTGAAGATGAACGATATGTAAGGCACTGCTTATGGATCATACTATTTTTTTAACTATCTTGTGTGGTATTAGAAATATACAACTGTACATTTAGTAACAATGTGGGCATAGCATTCTAAACAGGATTCATTCTGTGATTTTCTCTTCTGGACTCTGGATAGCTAAAATCATACTAGGTCAAACTCTTCTATTAATTCACTCTTTTAATTTTGCTTCTTGATTTTGTTTCATTATTGGTAAAAAGAAGAGAAGACCAGATCCTTTCAAATTACCCAAGGCTGCAGAGAAGACTGGATTTCCTGCTTCACAAATTAAGGTTAGAAACAATTTGTTCAGTGCTGATGATTCAATGATTGAAATCATTCAGAGTTTTCATGAACTTTAGCACATTTTGCTTATTTCATGCCCTGATTTGCAGTCAATCATTAAAAGTGAAGCCTGTATGCTTTGAAATACATGTCTTTGAATGTAATATTGCATTAGTACTAACAGTAAGTCTTTTTTTTGTTTTGTTATGATATGTGACAGCATGCTAAGCCAAGAATTTTGAGAGCATGCCATTCAACAGAGCCAGCAACTCCCCCTCCTGTCACTACCCCGGTCTATGATGTGAGATATTCAACAAGGTAAGTCCCAAGAGGATGACGTATAAAGTATGTTGAACTTGTTTACTTTATTTGTGATTTTAAAATCAGAGCATGTGGATTGCAAATACCTGGACAATAGTTGTTAATACAACAGTACCATAGTATAAGTTGTGTTTTTTTACTGTTTATCATTCCCCTACAGTATAGAATGATGACCTTATGCAGCAATTCTGTGCTGAATTCTTTTTAAAACCTATAAATATGCAGCAAAAGTTTCTAGGAATTATTTGCAAGTTGTGCAGTCAGTCAAAATCAGCATCAACACAGTACAATTCTAGCTGTGCATAACAAAGCATCAACTTACTGTAACTAGAACAATATTATATAACACCATATGGGTTATTATTTCTGACAAGAAGGTTCAGTAGCCTGCACAAAAGAAGCCATCAGAGCAGGTGGTGAAGATTTATCTTGATTAACCATGGTTATTGTTGGAAAATGGTTATTGCTCTAAGCTAGTACTTTCTAAGGCTTCGGTGATTTAATTGGTAAGGATATAAAATTGTTTGTAGTATCTTTTAATTCTGTGGTAAATCACTAGTCTTATAGTAATCTTGGTGATTATGTATAGCAAGTAAGAAATTTCTTATCATGGTGTTGGTTCATATTTTCCAGGAGAACAGTTTATTCCAATCCACCAAACAGGCCCCAGGAAAGTGATCTTGAAGATAACTTTGTGCTTCCAGCAGAGCTTAACTCCAAAAATAATAAAATTATATCCGATGTTGAAAACCAAACCATTCAGGCAGAGCTTGCTGGGCTTGAGGAAGTCTATCAACGAGTATGTCATGTAAGTGAGCAACATTTTTTCACTTCCATGAATATAAGACTTTGCCACCCCTCCTGTGGCTTGTGAAGATGAGTTGTATTACTTGTAAGTGGCAGAGTGAAATTGTTGAAATTTCCATGTACTAACTTAAAGGATGTTTCTGTCAATTAAAATTAATGTTAACATTGAAGCTCTGCAGCATACAATTTGAAAGTTTTTTGGTTTATTGTGTTACCTTGTACAGGGAAGAATAGAGTCTCTACACAGTCTTATGTATCCTAGTCGAAGGGATACCAAAAAGGGTTTAGTGCAGTACATTAACACTTCTGCACCAGTGCAGCTTAGGTAAGAAAACTGTCTGACTTTTAACTGACTGATGATTGATTGCATGTATAATGGTTTAAAAGATAAATAGACTAAGTTAGTTTGATTTGTTCCCTTCTGTATTTCTTACCTTTTGTTGTTTTTATGAGGTCTTAACTCTAACCAGAAGTGATTAAAACTTGGCTGAAGAATTCAGCCTTGTGGAAGGGGGTTATTTTCCAAATTTAGATTGTGGTTTTTATTGAAAGGAGGGTATGTGATCTTATGCTCATTTGAAGTTAGAGATAAGGATGATTCTTTCTGTTCAGTGATGTTTTTTAGCTACCACAAGACCTCTTTATTGTTATTATGTCTGAGTCAAGTACTTTTGGTGTATTAGTGAAAGGAGATCCTTGCAAAGTTAAGGAGATATTATTTTGTCTGAATATCATATCACATTCAAAGCTGACCTGGGAATAATTATTTTTAAAGGACACCACAGATTTCTCGGTACTCCAAGAAAGCACCTGCTGCTAAAAATCTGAAATATAAAGTGGAAACAGATACAGCTGAGACAAATGATATGGGAGAGACAAAGAATGGGGAATTACAGGGATCTAGTTCTGCTCCTGATATAGAAAACAAGCAAGAGTGAGTGTTAGGTTAAAGTAGTTTGTGAAGAATATTAATATACAGTGATATTAAGAATAGATATTGGGTTAGACATGGTGGCATGATGATTAGGAAGCTTGAGTGTGGTCTGAGTGGACAAGACTCCAGCTCTGGCTATTTTCATCATTTTCTTGGGTGAAACACTAGCACTTAACTCTCACATTGCATTCCCAAATATTAATATGATTAATTACTAAGAGGGAAACCTGAAAAAATGCTGGCAATTAAGCTGTATCTTATCCAGGGAAGAGAGCAATGCCCATATTCACTTCATATTGTGGGACTTGAATTTGTTATGGTATAATTTAATCAATAGAAGAAACACTGCAATCCTACAGACTCAACTACTCTTTTAAATAATTTGTAGTATTCTTAATAGGGAGCAAATCCTTAAGTCAGTACAGTAATTATCTTCAATAAACCTGCTTAAGCCCACTACAGTCTATACCTTAGCTCACCACTGACACAATATCACAGTTTTCTCCAAATTTCCTTAAAATGAACAATGGCTCTCTCTGATTAGCTTTCCAAACAGTCGTTCACTTCCAACAACTACTACTATTTTAGAGTCCTTATATACATATATACATTAACTTTACACAGTATTCTTGAACATTCCGGAAGCTTACATGTACAACACCACTATTTTGATAACATTACATCATTATTACCTGACCTAATAAAATGTTTCGGAAAGTTCCATCATGGTATGCATGTCAGCATGACTAAGCATTCTTGAAATTTGTAGATATTTATCTTACAATTGTTATCCATAACAGAGTAAGCACTGCATGCTGATACTAAGAGCCACACAAAATTGTCCAAAGGTTAAGGTGGCTCTGAATCATTAATCATTTTTACAGACTAAATTAAATAAACATAGAACTAGTAAATCCAAGGGCTTATGAAACCAATCAGACAAAAATTTTTCTGTTTTTTTTTTTTATTATTTTGAATTTTTATTTTGCTATTCTGTTCAGTTATTTCATACTTTCTCTCTCTTTTGTTGAAGGAACAATGATCGTCCAATTCTGATCCCTCTTCCATATGTCAGATCAGATGTCAGTTTAACAACAATTACAAAACAGCAAAATCAGACTTACCATGTACCTTACATGTATAGCAGTAGGAATACCCAGGCAGTCCTGAGGCAGCCTTCTACACTCAGTAATACTGCAGTACCTGCAGTCATAAACTTTAATCCAATGAATATACCTGAACTTCCTCACTCAGGAGCAAAGAATAGTATACCTAGTAGAGGTGTTGTCACAGTAACTTTAACAAACAAGTCCAGCAATAATACAGAAAATGTGGGTCACAATCCTATGCCTGCTCCATATGTCTCCCCCAGTCCTTTTAAAGGCACCACACCCAATCAGACACCAGCAACACCAGCATTAGTTGTTGGAAGGAGTGACATGTTAAACAAACTGGAAGTTGAGAGTGTGGACTCTGAAGTGGATTACTCTGCTCATGGAGTTCAGGAAAGCTTAACCAATAATCAGGGAGAAGAGAAGACAGCTTCAAATCAGACAGAAGATGCTACTAGCAAAAATCTTGATGAAGAAATGGTGGCAAGTGAAATTAGGCTAAGTGTTACTACAGAGGGAGGCCTACAGGGTGGTGTGGAAATTTATGATTATACTAAAAGAGGTAGATGTTTTGATATTATTGTCTTGGTTAAATAGTTAAATTTTTTACATAACCTGTAGGCATGCAAAATGTTTTATTCAACTAAAGGTAGTGTATTTTTGCAGCATTTTTGCAGTATTTTATATGTGGAAATTTTTTCTCTGGATGGGGAACTTAGAGTGTTTCTCTGTTCTTTTTCTTCTTACTTTATAACTATTTTATTGAATTCACTGAAGTGTACCTGCTACTTGCAGTTCCTCTGTTTTTGCCCAAAAAAATTATTATTTTGTTATCTTATTTCACTGTAAACTGTGGTTTAACTCTTTTACTGATAAAATCTGAGGAGTGTACAATACTATTCCTTGGTACAGGTAAGTAATTTAATGTTAACAACTGAGTTGAAAATGTAAATTAGCCAATGTAAAGGGTAAAAAAGCTGACACTTCAAGCATTAGCCCTTCGTCAGAGCGAAGTCTGACGAAAGGCTGACGCTTGAATTGTCAGCTTTTTTACCCTTTACGGTGGTCAATTTACGTTTTTGACTCAGTTGTTAACACTAAATTACCTGCTATACTCTCCCATCGATGCAACACCACAGTTTCTTAAGAAACTTACCCCCTTTATTCACTTGGTACAGGTAGATTGGGTGACTCTACAGTCAAACAAAAGGCACAGTTAAATTAATACTTTTGAGTGTTCAATGAACAGCTAGGTCTCAATAACAATTAGAGTTCCAAGTGTAATCATCTGCCATGTGATGTACTTTTTGTTCATGGAAAATCATGAGACCATCACATTTGATAGACCTGTGAACTTCAAATATCATATCATTAGTTGATTCTTGCCTGGAACATTCTTCCTCAATTTGGAACAATTATGTTTTTTTTAGACATTGAGAGTGAACAACAAGCTGCAAAACATCTTGAGGTAAGTTACAGGCTATATCTTTCTCACTGTGTGAAATTTTCTCTGTTACAAACACTTAGTTGTGACCAGAATGAGTAAGTAGAGCCAAAAGAGTCAAGCAGTCTTTCAATTTATTTTAATCCAATTTTCCAAAGATTGGGTGTCATTTTCACTTGGACCTTCTAAAAAGCCTATAGTAATGTTTTCTTCAGATATGGTGATACTGTTGCATACTTGGCCACAAACTGTATGCCATTCACTCTATCTGTGTTCACTCCCTTAAATATTTACTTTTTGAGAAAAACTTAGCATTTGATTAACTAGAGAATGTACACAACCTTACTAACTCCATTGTTAAAACATTTCTATTATTTTTTGCCAAAAAAAAAGACCCATGACAAGTAAGGCTGTGGGAGTTTCAACATGGGCATTTTCTGGAATATAAAGGGCAACCAGGAAAATATTTCATAGCCAAGTCAATTTATGTTTTCAAACAAGAGCCCTCGTAAAAGTTCAGCTGTGTTAATTGAGACTGAAACAAAATGAAATGTTATGTATATTGTTTCAGCAAGAACCAAAAAAATGACTCTTACGTAATCACAATAACCATGAAACATTGTGTAGTGATGAGTTGTGTACACATTTGTCTTTTTATTCATTAACTTTACAGGAGTTTGAGAAAATTGGAGAGAAACATATAAAAGAGTACAATGATCTTCTTGAGGAGCATCAGCATATTTTGGATGAGGTCAAACAACTTGAACAAGAACTTCGCAAAGAGGAAATTCAATAGCCAGATATTTTTATTATTAATGTGTCACAAGAATTAAGCAAAACAGTCTCCCATGAATAGATTGTTTCACTAGCCTCCAGCCTTAATCACCTTGGTCAGATTTGTTTTCCTTTTGCATTGAAGAATTTTTACCAAAAGTAATTTTTTTGCACCATTGATATCTAGCTCCTACCCCCCCTCCTCCTCCTTTTTTATTGTTAGTTAGCCACAGTATTAAGACAAGGAAATAATTTTTTGACCTTGATTTTACCAAATTTATTATCAATAAGAAACTTCATTCAGCTCAAGGAGACATGTCTCCTTGAAGCTTTGATTATCAGCTAATTATTGTCAATATTTCAATTATTAGAAACCTATAGCACAAACTTTTTTGTTTTTCTTTAAAAAACTCTATTAATTAGGAAGTGGAATATAAACACAATTTAAAATGCTTTATAAGTGTGAGAAAAATACAATTTGAAAGAAACTTTTCCTAAATCACAAAATAATTTTAATACTTTAAAGGGAATTAGTTATGGGGAATCTTCAGAGTTGGTGGCAAGAGTTATTTGTTAAAGAAGCTTTTTCAAATTTAAGTTCTGGATTAGCGATTGTTGTCTATTCAGTATCCAAAGTACCATCTAGAACTTGTTCTAAGCACTGTATCTTCTTGATTCCATTGCCTGATCAGGACGACCACTTAACATTTGATGCAGAAAACTGAAAATTGTAATTAGAGGCAAAAAATTTTTAGCAACTGCTAAATGATTGATGAGATGATTTTTTGAAATTTGCATCTTTCTAAAAGATGTTGTGTAACATTTTAAGAAATACAGTGCTAGGATACATTTTGGTATTAATATAGCATTTGGTGACTAAGCTTCAAGATCCCTCCACATGATGGCATGAATTAAAACTATCTTCTTAGTATTATTTAAGACAGTGAGAAATTTGCAATAAACTGTGTAACAATGCTAGGGCTCTGAATATCTTTCTCAACATGATCTTGGCTTTGTCACTTTTTAAATTTTTGTTTACTGTGAGCCCTCTCTGTGTCTGGGCAGGTATAGAGGTGGCTGCAGATTTTATGTGGGTTATGTTTAAGCCAATCATAAGTTGGCTTCTCTTCACAAGATCTTTCTAAAGGGCAATAGTAAAGGATGGGATCTAGGGTGCAAAATTTCATCTCTTGTTTATACCTGTTATCAAGGCTTCAGGTTAAGTCTTGCAAACTTATGATAGGAGGGCAAGGCAGAGAACCAAAAGTTACCACAATAAGGAAATTATATTTTAAAGAATATGTGTATATGACTTGACAACAAGGATATTAATGTTTTCTAAAACTGTCAATTTATTGTGATTGCTATGTTTCTTTTCTTGATTACTGCCCTATTTGTTAAAGGAAGTTATCTAAGAACATTAAAAAATGAATGAAGTATGTTTCTACTGATGAAGTATCCTTTGGTGATCAAAGATTCTTCTTGTTCTCACTAGTTCCTATTTACTCTCAAGGAGGACAACACAATACCAAAAAGTGAAGATGATTTGCATTTAAAGGGTAATAGTTTAGCACAGCCTTTCTAAAAAGATTGAGCATGTGCTTTGTGGTCTGGTAGGAATATTGAATTATACCCCTTTCACACCAAAGCTTTACCCGGTTAAAATATACTAAAGTTCATGTAGCAACCATGTGGACAATCAGACATGGTTTGATGTCACTCTGGTTTAAAGATTTAATGAATGTAACTGATAAGTTACAATTCATAGCATTCAAAATAAACTGACAGTTTTAGAAAACATTTATATCCTTGTTGTCAAGTCATATACACATATTCTTTAAAATATAATTTCCTTGTTGTAGTAACTTTTGGTTCTCTGACTTACCCTCTTATCATAAGTTTTCTATGAATTGTAATTTCTTAGTTGCATTCATTAAATCTTTAAATCAGAGTAGCATGAAACCATACCTTTAACAGGTTCTAAGGCTGTTTTCTTAAACACTTTTTTTTTCTTCATAGAGGCTACTTGAGCCAGTGTTTGACAACTTCAAAAGTGTTACATTGAACATACAAGTTAGTGACTATTTGAATCTTATGGAAAATTTGGTTTTTCAGTTCTCTTTTTTCAGATTTTCGTTCGGTTAAATCCGGTTAACTTAACATGTTTTGCTGGTGTTAATGGGGTATTAGTCAGTTTCTGATTATAGATTCGTGACGTCATTAGTCAAGCGGCCAGACTCGCAGACGACAATACGCATGCTCGGCGGAAGGGAGCGTTTGGGTGGCGTTTTCTTTCACACGTTACCTGAAAAACAAATCAAAATCACAGATACTCCTCGTGGCATAACATTCAACAAAGTATAATCTTTTTCTTCGAATATCCCTCGCCATGTTTTCGTGGATGAAAAAGAACGACGGTCAAAGAAACCCTCAAGTTTTCAACTCAGTCGTGGATGGCTTGAAGAAACTTTATTTCAAGCAACTGAAACCACTGGAAGAGTCTTACCTTTTCAATGATTTCCACTCGCCCGCTATGACTGAGCCTGACTTCGTAGCAAAGCCCATGGTATTGTTAGTTGGGCAGTACTCTACTGGCAAAACAACATTCATTCGTTATCTTCTTGAACGAGATTTTCCTGGAATACGCGTAGGCCCAGAACCTACTACGGATAGTTTCATCGCGGTGATGCATGGAGAGAAAGACCAAGTCATTCCCGGAAATGCTTTGATAGTGGATCCCACGAAACCTTTCCGCACTCTCGATTCTTTTGGTAATGCCTTTCTGAATAGGTTTTGCTGCTCTGAGCTTCCAAGCCCTGTCCTTGAGAGTATTTCAATCGTAGATACACCTGGTATTTTGTCAGGCGAAAAGCAGAGTGTATCTCGAGGATACGATTTCACTGGAATTCTGAAATGGTTTGCCGAACGATGCGATCGGATAATTCTTCTTTTCGATGCGCACAAACTTGACATTTCAGACGAATTCCAACGTGGAATTGAAGTTCTTCGCGACTACGATGACAAGATTCGAATTGTCCTCAACAAAGCTGATATGGTCACGACTCAACAGCTGATGCGGGTGTATGGAGCTCTCATGTGGTCCTTGGGGAAAGTGATCAACACTCCTGAAGTTGCACGCGTGTATATCGGGTCTTTCTGGGACCAACCTTTGCAAATTGATGAAAATCGAAAATTGTTCGAGTGTGAAGCCAGTGATCTGTTCAACGATATTCAAACCCTTCCAAGAAATGCCGCACTGAGGAAGTTGAATGACTTCATCAAGAGAGCCCGTTTGGCTAAGGTTTGCAAAAATTTTTTGATTTTCACCACTTTCGATCATACAATCGACTCCAAGTAACTCAACTCCTTAAGGGTAATTGTAAAATGTTTGAGTTGTCAGGAGTTAAAGTTATTGGGGCTTGACAAACTAAAAGAAAGGAAAAAGTGATTACTGCGTTACATTTAAACACAGTGTTTTTCAGTTTAGAATTGGAAAACTACAAATGAGGAGTTAAGTAGTTGAGCTCTCTCTAAGTACAATGCACTGTATTTAAATAAATCGCTAACAAGATATAACAGTGCGGAGCAACGAACGATTCATGAGAAAGATTTCCATGTGAACTCATACTTCACTTTGAATGCAGGTCTTTAATAAAAGGAGAAATGGGAAGAATAAGAGGTTACCTTGGGACCAAGGCTTTATCTGAGAATAGTCTGTGGCTATAGGGAAATCTTGCCATTTCGTGTAATGCTGAAAATGATTAGAGAAAGAATGTGTTACTCCCCTAAAATTTCAGTGTTTTAGACAATAATCTTGATCATTTTGACCTGTGAAAACATAATATTTTGCAAGGTATTCTCTAATGAGATACCAAGTTCATATAATTTATAATGGTAGTTGTACTGAGTGGATTGTGATTTGGTCTAAAATCAAGTACGCAGGGAGTTCAATTTAAAATTATAAGTGTGATTTCAGGTCAAAATTGCATGAAACACAGTTCAATTACAACTCTGAATTACCTTGTTTAAAGATTTTATTACAGACATCTTGTTGTCTTCATGCAAAATCTGTAAGAAGTATAATTCATCCATTTCTTTTTGTTTTTAATTTTCTGGAGACAAAAGCTTTAAAAATCTACTGCACAAGGCTTCTTTATCTCACATTTTTCAGCAATTTTATTGATTGCCTTAACGAGCCTTGAAATTTTATAATTTTTTTGTGTTGCTTTCTCATATGCTGGAAAAAAGATACAATTTATAGCAAAGACTAGTGTTGTTCATGATCAAATTGATGCTGAGAGCCAACAGATTGAAAGGATCACCAATGATTTAAAAATTTTCATTTAATAGGATAAGAAAATGAAGATTGATGTATACATGACTGTCAATATATGAAAATCATATATGTGCACTGTGGTTGAAGAAACAAATAGAGGTGATCCATGCAGGTATGAATACTACTTAACTAGTGGTTAAAATAAGGCCTGAAAAAAATTCAGGTCCATACAGGATTTGAACCCATGATCTCTGCTATACCAGTCTAGCACTCCTACCAACTGAGCTAACAAGCCAACAGGCCTTATTTTTAATACTAGTTAAGTAGTATTCATAACTGTGAGGACTGCTTCTATATTTGTTTCTTCAACCGCAGTACACATATATGATTATCATACATTTAAAGTCATGTTTTCACCTCTTGGAGGGTTAATTTTGAACCAAAATAATGACCAGCCCCCAGTTGGCTTGTTAGCTCAGTTGGTAAGAGCACTGCACCAATATTGCAGAGGTCATGGGTTCAAATCCCACTGGGGCCTGAATTTTTTTTAGGCCTTATTTTCACTACCAGTTGAGTAGTATCCATAACTGCGAGGATGGCTTCTATATGCAAAGAATTATGTGATTTGTACTTTGATTTGACTGAAAAATGGTTCCAAAATGTAGGTGTCATGTAGTAATCTTTAAGGCTGGAGAACTTCTTCAATTTTAAGCTCTGACTTTTTTTGGGGGGGGTGATTTTCTCTGTTTTTAGGTTCATGCATATGTTATAGCAGAGCTGAAAAACCAAATGCCAGCAGTGTTTGGCAAGGATAAAAAGAAGGAGCAGCTTTTGAACAAGCTTTCTGATGTCTACATGAAGATTCAAAGGGAACAAAACATATCCCCAGGGGATTTCCCTCCTGTACTAAAAATGAAAGAGCAGTTGCGCAAGTATGACTTCTCAAAGTTTTCTCCTTTGAAAACCAAGCTGATAGAAGCCCTTGACCGCATGCTGGCAAATGAAATTCCACGTCTGATGGCCATGATACCCCTGGAGAGTGAGAGTGAATCTGATGCTTCTGTGAGAGGAGGGGCATTTACTGTCTCTCATTCTACCAACAACCCCTTTGCATCAGGAGCCTGCCAGGGTGCTGCTTTGGGGGCTGGATCAGATGATTGGGTGGTGGAAGAATTTAAGCATGAATATGACAAGATCTTCAGAAGTTTGAATCCTCAAGGTGGAAAGATTAGTGGAGCTGTTGCAAAGAAGGAGATGACAAAATCTAAGCTACAAAACAATATATTAGGTAAAATTTGGACTCTGGCTGATATAGATCGTGATGGGAAACTTGATGAGGATGAGTTTGCTTTGGCAATGTACTTGATAAAGATCAAGTTAGAGGATGATGATCTACCAGAAGAACTTTCTACACACCTTACTCCTCCGTCAAAACGTATTAATTCGTCCAATGGTATGGACTATGACTGACAAAACTCCAACATCAGCAAGGCAGTACAGTGATCTTTAATAACTGTGTGCTGATTTGGACAAGTCACAAACATTTACAATTGTCTGATTGGGTCAAAATAATTTTAAAAGGTAATATACTAAGTAAATGGTGAAATTCTCTATGGCTGGGGAGTTTCCAGCTTTGTGTCTATGAGAGGTTTCATAACTGTACATTTTATGCAGGATTTGGAGTTCAAATAATTATTTTAAGGGTTAAATTGTATTCAAATGGACATTTTATTTAGCTTTTTTGTGCTATTTCTGATTTAGATATGTCTCTTCCATATTGTGCTGCAGCTAGTTTGTAAAATTATCTTAGTACGGTGAATGCTTTTGGTTATGTTTTCCTTCCATGAAAAAGAGTAACTGACGCAGCAGCATTTTAAAAGGTGTTTATACTGCATAACTTGAGAAAGATGGATATAATGAAAGGATATAATGCAGATGAACATTAAACAGTAGATGTAAACCTTAATAAGTCTTCAGTCAATAAACAAAGAAGTTGACTGCCTCTGTTGTCAGCTAAAATATCACACAATAAGGTTTTTCAGAGCAGAGTGTTCTCTTGATTTTAAATTAATTACATACCACCAAGTGAAAAGGGTTTGGGACTTTTTGTTTAGGAGGTAAATCAATATATAGAAAGGAAGTACTACTGTTATTGACAGATACAGGTCTGATAAAATTTTCACTAACTTGTAAATTAGTTATGTTCAGCAAAAGTTAATTTACAGTGATTGATTTATTAATTTGATTTGCATGTAAAAGGTGCATGTTGCTGTCCAATTCATTATAATTTGTCTTCTAATTGTTGGAAAACTTGGATGTAACAATCTGAATTAGTTATTTCATGTTTCATGAGGTTGTCTCTTCAACCAAAAATCAAGAGACATACCAGATTTTGATTGTGTACCATTTTCTATAATCACTAAAAGTTAACTCAACTAAGTATGGCCTGTAACTGCTACTGTCAAATATGGACAAAACCTTTTATCAGTAGCAGGGATTTTATACTCATTCTTTTTTGTGAGTAGCTCATACAAGTGGACTCAAAATGGTGACAGAAATCTAAAGAAAAAACATTGCAGGCTATTTTAGGGTATAAAAGCAACTAGCATCTGGGCTCATTTATACAAGTGTTAGATAACACTATTCAATAGATAAATCACTATCCAGCAGATAAGTAATAGCAAAACATATTTTAGTGTATAAAAGCAACTTGCATCTGGGCCCAGTTGTTTAAATGTCAGATGATGCTATCTAAGGGATAAATCACTATCCAACAGATAAGTGATAGCAAAACAGATAGCATTATCCACTATTTAGAGATTTATCTGGTGGATAGCATTATCTAACCTTCAAACAACAGGGACCTGGTATAAAGTGAACATTTTCAAGTCAATGCACCTTGTTATTGGTGAAACTAGTGTTTTGTGTGTAAACCCAACCATACTATTCAAATGTCTGTAGTTATTGCCAAAATTAGAATTTCAGCTGAAGCAGCTTTTTCCTAAACGAAGATATTTCAGCTCTTAAATACATCAAGTTAGGTAATTTTTTTGGTGGTTGTAGAGATATCCATGCTCTGATTGTTCAAGGATTGTTTTATTTCTTACCTTACCTTTTGCGAGTTGATCATAAAACCAAATAAACAACTGTAAAAATTAGCAGCTATGCTAATTTTTAAATGCATTTTCTTTGATATTCACTTTAGCAATAAGTAAGGATTTATTTTCCATTCCCATTAAATCCAATTCTGTGCAAAAATGTTATGTTTAGAATTTATAAAGAGCTTGTTAAATTTAGAAATTGAATAAGCTTTCAGGAGATATGAATATAGTTTTATTTTATCACTTTGAACCAAAGTAAATACATTTCTAATGTGAATTAGGTCCATTCTTTTGACAGTGTTATTAGTTTAAGTCCCCTTTGTACCATCAAATAATTATTATTGCATGATAGAGGAACATTACTTATTTTTCCCTCAGTTTATTTTTGATATAGTCGAGGTGTATCAACATTGACATTTAACATTGACTATTAAAAGGGCATTCTGTATTAAGTGAATTAAAATTATGGTACCTTAAAAATTAATTTGGTTTTCATTTCATTATTTTCAAAAAAGGTTTGGTGTCAAACTTACTTCCTGGATTTTTTTATTGTGAAGAGTGTGGCAAGGGATTTCAAAGATGTTTCACCATGCATGGAATCGTTCCATCTGAGCTCCCATGCAACTTCTTTCCCAATCGAGTCCTTTACAACCTCTTTCTAAGAGTCTCTCTCTCCTCCTTCCTCCTCCTTCCTCCTCCTTCCCCCCAACCACCATCTCCTCTCCTTCCTCACCTTTAACCCTTTAGCTCCCATGAGTGATCAAGACAGAATTTCTCCTTACAATATCAATACAAATTATCAACCAAATAAGTGATGAGAATAAAGAAAAATATCAATTTGGAGATAATCGGTTGATCCGATACTAAATTCCCTGAAATAACAGTGTAAGAATTGTATAGTTGACAGTAAGCATACAAATTATTACAAACTACACAAACTACAAATTTGATCTGGGAGTTAAAGGGTTAAGGTAATATCTTAAGGGACATGAGGGAGTGAGACCCTGGGAATGGGGTTGAAAAGGTAGAAGAAAAGTGCGCCTTGCTCCCCTAGTCTAGTGGCATAAGACCTTTCTCGTTGTAACTGGCACGCCCATGGGACGGCATATTACAATATCTAAAGAATAGTAAAGGGTACCATGTCACTTTCAAAATAGAAAAGGACAACATCATTCTCTTTCCTAATAGGTACGTTTGAAAGTATGGAAGATAGCTCACCTTTACACAGAACAAGGTCGACACATTGATCCCCGCCTAGTCTACCATGTCCCTTTGAAAATCGAGAAGGATAATGTCAACTCCTTTCCTAACAGTTACGTTTGAAGTATAAAAAGATCAAAGTTGCTTATGCACAGAACAAGGTAAACACATTGGCCTTCGCTCGTTCGGGGAATAAACCATCCACATACGACTTCATCTAGATCGCTTAGACAGCAAAAGGAATCAAACTTCGCGAAGTATGAATCCTGAAAATCAAAGAACACAAACATTCTCCAAAGCGAGGCTTATTTATTACTTCTTATTACCTAAGCGTAAGGGCCGAACTGGGTAATATTGGCCTGAGGTCGTGGCAGTGCGGACCTCGCTACGATTGAGGGCCAATAACACGGAATGATACGGTTCGAACAAGCAGGTTAGAAAGTAGTTTATTGTATAGTACTCGAATCAAACTGAATTTGCAGTCTCATTCAAACAAAACTTCACGATGACCAGAAACATGTGAAAATCTTATATTTAAACGGCGAATTTAGAAATGAATATGGTAGCAATCTCGCCGTAATGAACACTACTTTTACAAGCAGTAGTGAAAATAAAGTCTGAAAAAAATTCAGGTCTGTACGGGATTTGAACCCATGACCTCTGCGACACCGGTGCAATACTCTACCAACTGAGCTAACAAGCTAACTGGCGGCTGGTAATCATGTTGGTCCGTAAGAAGTGAAGTAATAAATCATTAACTGTGAATACTTGAAAATCATAAATGTGAACTGGGGTTTAAGTAAAAAATACTCTTCTTAGGGCTGTTTCCCTGAAAACGCTCTGCATGAGCTGTCTGTAGGGTATAACGACCAACTAGGAACCAATCAGAAAGCTCTGATTTACCTCATGACAACCTTTCCATATAATAAACAGTGAATACTCACTTAACAGCAGTGAGGTATTTTGAAAATCACAAGTAACAAAAGTTGAGACCACTGGTTATGTAATGAGGTTTTAAGTGAGCAATTAAGGAAGTTGAGCCACGGTTGATCCCAATGTACATGAACTCTGATAGGGCCATCACTGAAACATAATAGGGGCGCTGATTCGCTAAGGGCTCTCTTGGGAATTAAGGTGCTTACGCAATAGGGGCGCTTATCAACAAAAAACAAATCTAAGTGGGGCACTTACTGTAGAGAGGGCACTAAGGGACTGTTTACATGGAGGTGGGGGACCCCGGGTAGGTGAGGTAACCCGCTTGTCAATATAATTTATTTTGTTTTGATCACGTTTACATAACAGGTGGGGTGACCCGCCTAGGCGGTTCGGAGACCTAAGCCGAAGTCACTATCAGACTCATGTGAAGAGTGAAAATTATCAGTCGAGTACTGCATGTCTAGTTTTAAAGAGAAGTGATCGATTAGTTTGCCGTAATGCTTTTGGCTCGGAGACAAACGAAGAAAATTGTTCAAAATGTTTTTGACTGGGCTGACTGCGGTGGAGTCAGAAGTATCCTTGTGCCCCTGCATCTCCGCGGATGATACGATACAGCAGAGGAAACCCCAGAATGGAGGGGATAGTGGATTGATAACACAAAGTGCACAATGAGTTGTCAGGTAAACTTCTCACCTTGGTTTTAATAGGAATCTCTATATGGTGTTTCAAAAATTTTCAGTGTAATGAGTAGATCATTTACAGATACGATGCCAATAAAAAGTGCATCTGTGGGGGAATCATGCAAGCAGGAGATGATTTCATTCTCATTTGTCTCCTTCGGAAAAAACCGTTTTTATAGGAGACAGACGCTGAGCAAAACCAAGTTCGTCAGACTACAATACACCATCGTATCACTTGAAAGACACAGATGAGCAGCCCGCCTGGGGCATACAAAAACTAATCATCATCAAAATCACTTCCTGATCCGGACCATTCCTTTGAGCCTTCATTCTCTTTGTCATCACTGTCACTTTCCTCCTCAAAATACTTCACAGGAGCTTTGGATCTGCCGGTGCGAACTGATCGGCTAACAACTGCACTTTCCAGTGGTTCGTCATCACTGGAGCTTTCTACGCTTGCTTTCGCCTTTTTCGGTGGCGACTTTTTAGGCTGTATGACAAAGATAACAAGGCATTACTAAAGGCGAGGCTGAAGTTTTTGGAGACATGAGCTGTGTCGTAACTTCTGATAGTTATCTCAGTCTCTTCCATTCCCTGTTTTCAGTCTCGTGTATTCCTCTGTCACTGTCGCTGAACCAGGAACTACTGACCGCATATTTTTCGTTCTTCAAGGCTTTTTCGTTGTATTTCATATCATCTTTTAGAAACAATGAATCCTGGCTTCCGAACTTACCCAAGGATGGAAGCCAGTGGGGGGAGTTCTCTGCTTCTGGTTCTAATCATTTGGTGTGAACATACAGCTATTCAGAGACGGAAAATAATGCTATGTTTCACTGTCTCTTGATTAGCGAAAAAAAAACGAATTTCTTCGAGTGAGGTCATTTTGGAGATTTCCTGGCAATCTAAATACATATTACCGCTACCTTTGGAAGATGCTTATCAATGAACATCTGGTATTCTTACACTTACCTTAATCACTTTTCCTTTAGCAGCTGTAGGTTTCTTTAAAGAGAGCATGGATGAATCAGAATCCTCGTCACTGCTATCAAAAATTACTGCCTTTCCTCGTTTGCCTTTCTTGGCTGGCTGTTTCTTTGCAGCTACTTCGCCATCAGGGCTGTCGTCCTGTGACGATGTTTTAGACGAAGCTGCCTTTTTAGTCGCGGTGCGTTTCTTCTCTGCTGCTGTAGTGGTCTTAGCAGGTTGTTTCTTCGTAGATTTAATTGATTCACCACCCTTTAATGGCTTATTTGGCTGCAAAGCATCAAATCCATTCATTCAAGACATCTCAAATTGCTAATTGACTTGTAGTCTACCCCTTTTAATGGTCTTCTTAAATCACAATCGAGAATAATAAAAGATCTGGGGATATCAATGTTCAGTCCCATTAGGTTACGTCAACTCCCGCCCAAGGGTGTTTATCAGGCATTGGAGCATGGGAAATTATCCCGCCACTGCGCAGAATCACCTAGCAAAATTTGATGGCTCGAGTTATCTTTTAATCGAGAGTGAAGAAGACCATCAGTAATGAGAATGACGCTTTCCTTACAGCCATCTGTTCCTGGTTAGGCGACAATCTTTCTTCACGTCACTGTTGTTACTATAAAAATACTGTTTGCCGCATTACGCACTGACTTTCACTCAGTCATGTTACATAATTTATTTCTATTACTAAAGACTAGGGGCCTTACAGAATACCACTTTCCAGTGACGAGCTTCCTATATAAAGTTGAGAAGATTTATCTTTATTTGGGGGCATTTTTAATATAACAATAATTCCGCTCGCGCTTGTCGGACTTGAGCTGAGTATAGCCAACTCAACCCTACGGGCCTCGTTGGCTATCTATCATCTCTATCCAATGTGCGCTCGTGGAACAATTGTTAATTATACGGTCTGAGGTTGTCCGCTCACTCAAAAGATCCCCATGGTGTCAGCTGCTTAGTAAATGTTTGATAATTCAGCAAAATCTTACCCGTGAACTAGTGGTCTTTGCGGGTTTAGCAGGGGAGAGCTTTTGAATCAGAGCACGAGTAGCTTGCACGTCACTTTTATCTGATTCGGCATCGCTATCAACACTTCCTTCCTTAGATGGTTTTCCGGTTTTCACCGCCGTGACCGTAAGATCGTCATCATCATCATCATCATCGTCAGAACTAAAAGAGTACGTCTACAGAGCAAAGCAATAAAAGAAAAGAAAATAAAAAACATTATATTCTTTATATCATTTTACTGAACTAAAAGAATCAATAGAATGTCAAATCCATGGATCACTGGCGAACTCTTTTTCGGTAGTTTTTCCATCAACATATTCTGGGTAAGGAGGCAGTTTGACAGGTGTAAACGTTCCCATTAAGCGATTTCGTCAACAATTTCCGTCTAAACTGGCTTCTAGTCCAGTCACCCATTAAGACAAAGAAATAGCAAAGGAAAGGAAAATACCCCAAGGGGCATGCTACACCCCTCTTTGTAAAGAAAGAGGGAACATCTGAAACAACAAACAAACGACCCTGAAAACCTTCAAATGGCACAAAGCTACCCCTTTGACTGCAATTGGTACACTGGCACACTTCGCTGAAGCGTGTTCCAGCGACATTTAACTTAACAGTATATCACTACACAAACCTTAGCAGGACGAGATCTAGCGGCCCTTTTCTCTACAGGCGGTCCATCCTCTTCATCGCTGAACTCCATAATAAAATCGTCATCACTCTCTGCTGCTTTCCTAACCTTCTTCTTTGAACTGAACACCTCCAGCGAAGATTGCGTTTTTCCCTTTGCAGCAGAACTGCTGGTTGTCTCAGCACCACTGCCAGCTAACGATGATGATGACGAGATGGGCAACTTCTTGCTCTGTCGCTGAGCAAGTCTGTCAGCGAGTGATCTCACCGGAGGACCTGCATCTATGTCGTCAAACTCCCAGGAGTCGTCACTCTTGTTTTCTTTCTTTGGAGCTGTTTCCTTGCTCTTATGTTGCATGTTTTTCTTTTCTTGTTCATTTGTAGCAAGCGTCTTGGGTTTATTTTCAGTTTTCTTTGCTGGCTTTGATGGTTTCTTTTTCTGCTGCTGTGAGCGCCCTGCCTTGGACTTTACGTACATTTCTTGATCTTCCTTTTCCTGTTGCTCAACTCGCTGTAATCAGTGGCAAATGTTAAATGACATACAGGAAATGCTATAAGCACCCTCAGGTTAGAAATGCCACCAAAACATCCTATTCTATACACAAGTTACGAAACAATATTCTGGTCATTTAGAGTGGGCTAAACTACCTTCATTCCAAAAAATGCACATAATATAAGTTTGAATAGGATTAAAAGACATTAGAGGAGATTCCATCTTCATTCCTTGAGTTCTACTCAATTAAACTACACTTTTCCCAAACTTTTTGTCAATTGTGTTTACAAGAGTATTTTAAGACACCTCATATTCCTTGGTGACAAAAGTAAGGTTCTCGGTAAATTATGTTAAGATATGAAGACCTTACCTCGAGCTCTTCCAAAAAGCTATCAAGATCTTCCAACCAGAGGTCTTGTGGTGACTTCCTCCTTAATATGTTCAGCTCCTCCAACTAAATTGTTGCACAAGATTATTAAACAAGAATGGCAGGCTCATAGGCAGCTGTTGCAATAAGAATCTGATTAGGATTACATGGATTTCTCTTGTCTACCAAGACATCAGAGACCTTTGCTTATGATTCAAGTATTAACCACCTTTTCACCTTTGCAAAACAACTGGAATCTTTGAATGCCCTCATCTTCCCTCTTCCCTCTCCCCTCACAATTTTGATATTTCAAAATTCTATGCGAAACAGAAGACATGACTACGAGTCATTGTTTAAAAACACTTAAACACTCTCCTGTTTTTCCCTAGAGGCTTGTGCTGAGGTCATTCCTTAAGGCTGAATTCCAAAATACAAACATTGGCCATTTTCATCCTTGGTTTGAACTTTATTTTGAAAGCATTATCATACACACACACACTGTATGTCACCTAAACCAAAAATATAGAAGAGTAAACTTTAAACAAAGGAGAAAATTGAACTCCAAATAAATACTGCCACTGACCTTATTATCTCTCTCTTTTAATAGCTCTTCCTTCTTTTCTCGAGAGAGAGACAGCATAGACATGGACAACAAGTACCCAAAGTCAGGTCCACCAGCGCTTGACGTGGAACTTGCCACACTGGAAGCATCATCTGTATCTCCCTCATCAGGTGCACTGGACTTTTGTGTGTCTTTCCAAGCCTTGATAGGATCAGATGGGTATCCATGCTGCACCAAAGTGGTAACTATGTCGCGCTTGGTTCTGTTCTCTGTTAGAAATAACAAGTTCCCGTTCATGAGTCACAGGAGACTTCACCATCTTTTACTCCATATTCAAATTAAACACCAACATTTTATCATCAGAGCTCCATCAGACTTTTTAAAAAAAAAGTTAAGGTTCCCGATGAAAAAGTTAAGGATCCACAGTAAATAATGTTCTAAACCACATGATAAATATCAAATTATTCTGTGCACAACTTATTACACTAAAAGATGATATTGCAGTCTCTGTTAAAAAAAAAAAAAATGGTAAAAACTGAATAATGATGGCAAAGGGTTATTTAATTTTTACAAGAGTATTTTTGCAGACCTTGTCAGTTTTTGATTAAATTAAATCAGTGCAAATATTGTTCTAATGCAAATCTAAGATGACTCATTCTTCTTGCTGTTTTGCATTCCTTTTGCTGTTGTTTTCCTAACCAAATAGTGTCCCCAGCACATATTAGTGTATAGGGAAAATCCTACACCATCGTATCACATTTGCCTAAATCTTTGTTTCCTTAAGGATGTCAAGAAATTGATGAGCTCCTCCATAACAATGGATCAAATAACAATGCATCAATGATCAACTCATTAGATGCATTTATGCTAGAGACATTAAAGTTGTCTAAGACGTTAAAGTAGTCTCGAGACGACTTTAACGTCTTAGACAACTTTAACATCTCCAGCACAAAAATGGCCATTGATTCAGGTGCAAATGAACAAAATAAATGTGCCTCCAATGTAATTGCACAAGATTTACAGGAGTATAATTGGAAATTTTGAATGGAAACTATAAATAAATAAATAGTGAGCAATGATAGAACCCTCACCTATGATAATTTGTCCTTCAATTTTCTCCAAGATAAAACGAGCTTGACTACTGAGCTTTGTTGATTCTGCAGTCAGCATTCCATCTAACCATGCTTTACGTACAGCATATCTTTCCAAACGAAGCTCAAAGAATTCCTTAAGTATGTCTAGTGGCGACTCATACTTGCGCAGACAACCCAAGGCATCAAACAAAACCTGAAATACATTGCAAACAAAAATAATTTCAAATCGATTCAATCAGAAGTTCCCTATACCCAATGAGGTTGTGCTGAATTCATTACTGAGCCATGTCTTAAACTGGACTATCTGTGATTAGAAAATACTTAAACAGTGGATAGTGTTAAAGGCATGCTCTGATTGGCTACTCAAACTCTGCATATCCTTTGCTATTCACCTTTTAGCAACTCACACAGGATTTGAACCCAAAAGTGTTGTAATAGCTGCAGGAATAAATGTGTTAAAATCATCATTTTTTGCTGTATAATCTCACTGTCTTTGTATATAATAAAACTATTTACCTCAGTATCAGTGGCCAGTGGTAGATATTTCACTTATACATAGCCTAGTAAATATCCAACACTAACATCCACATCTTCCTCCACTTGGAAGAAGACATTTGTCACCAAAGATCAAAGTTAGTTGGATACATCTCACAAGAAAACTGACATTAGAAGGGCTATCAACTATGGCTGCAAAATTTGATATAGCACCATAAAACATTTCCAGTAATAAAAAAAAATGGATGAGCCACAAACTCTGTCACACATCTGCTGTGTGGACATTTTTGTAATGACTAAAATGCACTTAGATAGAAAAACTTGTATTTTCTATAACTACAAATATTAAATATTAGCTGGGATAAGTGCTAAACTCACCATATTGCTGGTGTTAATTGAAGCTTCAAGTTTAAATTTCTTGTGTAATCCAGTTGCCTCTGCCTCAGCCAACTTGTCCTCAGCCATATTAAGTACAAACTTCACTGTTACATCTGTGTGGTATTCCTTGTAATCCCTGTACCAAAAAGAAAAGTCATCAGATTGGATGGGACCAATTTCCCAAGTGTAGTCACTGGAAGTCATTGAACAAATAAATTAAACTGTGGAAAATGCTAGACAATCCCAATTACTGCACAATTTTATAAGTACATGCACATCATTATATCATTTCAGTAGTTAATCTTTCACAATTCACACATGAGCACTTATGATGTAAATTTATAAACAAACTGAGTTAATAACACTCCACCATTGTGACTTCAAAGATGCTACAAGTCCTGCCCCTGCAACTCAGAGATGCTGCTTTTTTGCCCTTTGTTAATCCAGTTTCATAATCTTGTTATAGTGCATCTATTGTACTAGAATTGTTTCACCTATCAGACAAACTAACTTTTGTACTGTTGTGCTGCTGAGGGTGAGTGCCGTACTTCTTTCTTTAAAACATAGCTTAAATAGGTTTGTTTGAATCAAACACTTGTCTACTCACGTCAGAATAGGAGGAATTTTCTCTGAACCATGGAGCATTGGTTCCAAAACATTTTCTTTGTAAACCTGTGTCCAGGTGCCAACTGGCAGTTCAGATATTTCTATGGTCTTGTTGTCAACAACTTCCACATTGCCTTGCACAAGGAATTTGTGGCTATCAATTTGAGAAATGGTACCAGTGAAGTTCTTGAATGATGGTATCTTAAATTTGAAAGGAAAAACAATAACACAAACATTCCCTGGTTTGTACCTCTGCACTATGTTAAGAAAGGTACATATCAAGATTCCCAGACACCCCTTAAGGAGCACTGGCACTGTTCATTACAATATCACCCATACCTTTGGAAAAAAATTTCTCTACTTGAGATGTTCAGAAGGAAAATAAATTTTAACAGAACAAGTGAGCAGGTAAATTAGGCCCAAGGCAAAAACTGCCAAAAGACAAACCAATACAAAATTTGCCATTTTAATCTATATCTAATTTTTTCCATATCAATTGTGAATTTACAATGTGATTGAGAAGTTTCTTTAAAGCTAAAGTACCACTGCAAGCCTGATGGAATACTACATGTAATCACAGCCTGCCCACAAATTTAAAGTTATGCATTTTTAAATCCAAAAGCTACATTTTTGTTGAAAACTAAGGTACTCTTCTTTCATAATTGATCATTTCTCTGACTCTGACAACAAAAAATGTCAACATTTTGATTTATGTGGAAACTCTGAAGTTTCAATCACAGTTTAGTGGGAATAAAGAGCTCACCATCTCTTCTGGTTCCTCTCCATTGATCATCTTCTTCAGATTACTAATAATTTGCCGAACATCAAAGTTAGGCACCTTGGTGCTGTACCCAGTGCCAATCCCCTCAGCCCCATTGACTAGAACTAAAGGAATTATGGGGCAATACCACTCAGGTTCAACAGGCTGGTTATCGTCAAACAGGTATGTAAGGCTGGGCATGTCATGAGCATGAAACAATAGCTTTGTTAAAGGACTCATCATAGTGAAGATGTAACGAGGACTAGCAGCATCCTTGCCTCCATGGAGACGAGTGCCAAACTGACCAACTGGCATCAGAAGATTTAAGTTGTTGCTGCCCACAAAATTCTGTGCTAAGTTGATGATTGTTCCCATCAGGCTTGCCTTAATGGGTAAAGAAGATGTAAATAAGACCAGGGCATAAAAGCTGAGGGGAGAATTACCTTACTATATTACTTCTGATGTATTTTTCAACTACAATCCTGCAAGTGTGGTATCCAAACATGAGCCAATGGATAGTTGGGCCATTGTCAAGAAAGGAATTGAGAAAGATATTTTGTCACAGTTGTAACAGGAAATAAATGCAACAGAAATTTGAAATGTTCAAGCACAACTTTGCATCTGCAGCTTTCATCTCCAATAATTGCTGCAAAAATGATATCCTTTGTATACTCTGATAATTGACTGATTGATGGAAAAAATTCTGCCAAGGATTTGCCTTTATCTATTAGTGCTTGAAGATTCTGTAAATAATGGGTTATCGGTTACCACTTCATTTTTGAAACTCCAAGAATGATGTAATAACTATGATATTGCACTTATTATTGATTGTTACTTTTATCAGTTGTATTATACTGTGGCAGAATATCCACCATTTGAAGAGCAGTAAATATTCAGTTGGTGAATCACCACAAATTTAATTAAAATAACTTTGTGCAGTGGACATGTAGATGTAAGTAGACAAATCTAGCTGATTGGTTTGGAGGACTTAATCATCAAGTAGAGGTCATAGACTTTCATTAAAACTATGGGAAAATTCTCAAACATTATTGGTTATCACCAGCCCACGCTGAGCTCTAATGGGACAGTGAACATGTCATGTTTGTAATTGGTCAGCAGTAGGACAGTGAAAGGCACAGTTAACACATCATGCCTGAGTAAGTGGACAGAACACAACATGTGCGTGCACTGTTCTCTCACATTCCCCTGAGTTAGCTGTTGTTGTTGTTTGTTGTTGTTGTCTGATGTCTAGTTTCTTTCTCAAATCTTGTCATAGTTCTGATTAATTGGTGACAGGACTTTGTGTTATTCAATTCTGGCTGTAGTTATACTCATGCTTAACAAATCAGACTCCCACTTTGCAGTCATCCTATTTTTTTAATTACTCATATGATTACAGACTGAATTGGATTCCATTCGGTCCTATTACCATTATTAATTATATACCTCGCCATGGTGATATGCAGACAGTTCTGCAACTGATCCAGCAAGTTGAGCAACTTTTACTTCTCTTTTGTCATTCCTTTTAAGGCAGGTGAAGAGTACCTTCCTTTGACCGGGCTTTAAACCTGAAGGACATTGTTCAAAAATAATTATAATGATTAATAAAATACACATAAACAAAATCTGATCAGTTATTTGATTATGCCTTTTGACATTATTTCTAAATTCAATTATCTTGCTTACCATCCACCAAACATGGGATTGATCGTTCATTATCTGCATTGGAGAATAAAACAAGTTCTTTGTTGACAAAGTCAGAATATGAAACTGACCTGGTGTCCTTCTCATATAAGTAAACCTGTAGGAAAGAAAGACAAGAAAAGCAGTTACTAGGTGATTTTTAATGAGTGATATGAGAAAAAAGCTACTGGCATTAAATAATATAGTATAATCTTCTTGTTTACACTCTTTTAGGTCAGATTTCACTAACAAAATTTGATCACTTATTTCAGTTTGTTGTTCAACACCTCTTATGGACAAATCCCAGGAATGCAAATAAACAACTAGGTTTGACCAACCTCTGAAAGCCCTTGTTGCCTTCTCCACTTGCGATCTTCCATTGCACGATTGAGCCAGTCTTTCCTGTCATTAACTTTCTTCTTACTGAATGCCTGTAATTAAAAGAAACATCCAGTCTACAATTCAGTTGTTTTTCTTCCTTCAAACAAAGCCAATTTCATACCACTACAGGTTAAAATAGTTTTTAATTAACATTAGTTGAACATAATTTTCTTGGTTCCTTTGACATTCCTTCATATGTCATTATGAGATAAATCATGTAAAAACATTAATTAATACCAACACTAGTAGATTTGTTGATTATTTTGGTCTTGCATGCAGAATTGAATATATCTATGAGAGCCTAACAGCTGGCAGACTTTGCTTGTTTCTTTGAGAGGCTCCCTGGCTACCTCACTCATCACTGCCTTTACTGTGACACTTGATTCACAATATCTCTGCTTTGATGAAATAAACTTGTCTTTCTTATTACCCACTGCAAGGGAACACTTAATTCTAAGGGAGAAGGAAAAATGAAAGTTTCTCACAACTCTACACTTAGACAGATGTTTTCAAGCATTGGCTGCATTAACTCAAAAGAGATGCAATACTCCAGCAAAGAAGGAAAACATTATTTAAAAAAAAAAGATAGCGCAGTATCCAAAACTATAGTCATATCACCCACATAGTGCCAATGACTTATATGATACAGCTATACATACCATAAGTATAGCTTCATCACATGGTGCACCTTCATGGTGGAACTGAATCTGATGACGTCTCATGTCAGCAAAGTATTCTTTGGCCTCCTTGGGAGTGCTTGTACCCAAACCTTTATAGTATTTTACTTTCCAAGACTTGACATTGACTATGCTGTTTTTCCATTCCTCATATTCAGGAATGCTGTAGAATGCTTTCTCCTCTTTGCCTTTACTGACCTGAAATTTTGATGAGCTGTTAGCATCGATGATGAATTACTACTCTCACTATTTGAATATCAGAGACACAATCAACCTACAAGCAAAATTTAATTGCCAAATGTCTCCAGAGGATTCATAATCAAGCCTGAGAATCCATGTTTTTATGTACTAATTTTGACTACATGAGCATAGAATTTAAAAAATGCCTGAATAAAAACATAAACTGACTTTAACTTGGAGTAATGAGAATTTTGTTTTTATAATACATGGAGGTGTTTCATCCACCTCTTAATCTTAAGTGGTTAAAGGTCACAATACTACATATTGACAAAGGTACAGGTGAATGCACGCGTATTGGTTTTATATTAAATTTGTAAGCAATGCAACAGCCACGAACTAAGTCCACCATTTCTTTGCAATCTTTCTCAATTGCAAGAAAATTGGTACAATCTTAAACTGACAGTGTTAAAAATATTAGTTGTAACTTAAATATTCCCTTGCCATAACTTCAATGAAAGTTTCCTTGATAATGATGTAAAATTTGTGTATTTTCAATTTGATTACACCATTCATTTTCTTACAAGCCACTGCAAGCTATGCCAAGCTGACACAAATTATTTGTTTGAAACAATGTGTAACTAAAATTCTGTACATGTGGATATTAATTTCTCTCTTTTGGGCAGGTCTTAGAAGTTTCAGTTACCATCTTAAAGATTAAGGTAAACTCTTGGTGTAGTCTTAATACCCCACCTTCCCCCCACCCCCATTTAAAGCTTACCTATCTTACAAATGACACCTTAAAAATAACACTAACCTTAACAATGGGAGTAATAAACTCCTCCAGGAAAGGTAAGCGTGTAAGGGTAGGCCAATTACTATGGATGAAGTTGATGAGGAGTCCCTTAATGTGAGAGCCATCTTGGTCTTGATCTGTCATTATCATAAGGTGGCCATATCTTAGACTCTTCAGGTCTTCTTCAGATGAGTACTTCTTGTTGTATTGAAGGCCAAGTATCTTGATAAGATTATTGATCTCAGCATTTTCAAGAATCTAAAGTCAAACAATAAAAATTCTGGTTTAGTTCTGGGTTAAATAAGGAAAGCTGGTACTTTAACAAGGTATCCTCAATCAGGGTAATTTGATATAATCAGCTGAGTTAATAACATACAATGGCCACTGTAAAGAATTTCAAAACTAACGTTTTGAACCTTAGCCCTTTGTTAGAGCGAAACTTTACCATTGAAACTCTTTACGATAGCCAATTTACATTATCCACTCAGTTGATAATATCAAATTACCCTGTTATACTCTCCCACTGATGCAAAACCACACTTTCTTTAGAAAATTACCCCCTTTATCCTCGATCAGATTGACCTAAATTGTGAGCTATTCATTGATTACCATAGCAGATGACTTCTATGAACTGACATAAAAATTTTGAAGGTTGTCACCAAGAATTATCAGTCAAATGGGATCAAATGGTCTCTTCTTGTCTTAAACTTGTGTATTTGATTTTTCCAGGATCCAGTAACAACAGCTCAAAACAAATTATGCCAAACACATCTTTGCATTTCCCTAATGTTAGTGGGAGTATGCTAAGGAGGTTTAACTGCATGAATCAAATTCTCCACTGGCTAACTACTGGAAGTTTGAACTTCATACCTGCTTGTGTGATGCATCCCTGACATTAAGCAGTTTACCACGCAAGGGAAACACTCCAAAACGGTCTCTACCAACTACACTCAAGCCACTTACAGCCAGTGTTTTGGCTGAGTCACCCTCAGTGAGAATTAGTGTACATTGCATTGAGTTTCTACTGCCAGCATCATTAGCATCATCCAATTTGGGAATTCCACGAATCTTGCTGTGTTTGCTCTTTTGACACTTCTTGTTGAGTTGAGACTAGAATGAAATCCCCAAAAATAAATGCACATCTTAATTTAAAAATACTTGACAAGGTACAAAAACAAGTTAGAAACGGTTAGAAGCTATCAATTAAGACTCCTCTTGATAAGAGGGCATCCAAACTGAGGTGATGCATGTATTCAGATATTTTCAAATTCTTTGAAAAGTTTGCTAACAAGTGTCATGAACAATTAATACATGTGCCAGTAGCCATGTTGTAGTTAAGTTTTTTTTTGGTGAAAGTTATTTCTTTCACCTTGTTCTTTAAGTGGTGTTTTGCCAATTACTAAGAAAGGTGTTTTTTCTGTAACCACTTCAAATCAGCTAAGAATCCACTCAAAGGACACAAGATTATTCCCAGAGAGAACCCTGCTGTTAAACCATGACATGTTTAATGAATTCAACCTGGAGTCTACTAAAGATTGGAATTAGTACCTGTGCCTTGAATTTCACCCAGTTCATGATATGTTCAACAACACCACACTGAGTAACCTAAAAAAGTACAGGAAACAAATGATATAACATCACATCTCAGGGCGTGAAATTAATTTTTTTTTCTGACAGCCACTTGGCTCCTAAATTCTTCAAAGTGGTAGTCAATTCAAGAAAAGTTGGTCACCATTTTCAAAGACAAACAAAACCTCTTTTTTATGCTGTCGTCGTTCTAGAAATTAAGTAAGGGAAAAGATCTTTAACGTGCTACAAAATGGACACTAGGATGGATGATATGCAACGTTTAAGTTCACCTAAATCAAAGATGGCATCTAGTTATTGATCGAGATGCATGTGCTGCATTTTGGAAACAAACTTAACGAGGAAGTTTGCCGCGGATTTGTCTTTGCAAATCTTTTTAATTCACTAGATCTCTTAGTAAGGTTATGATGAAACATTCTAGTCACCAATTTGGCAACTAATTTTCAGGATTTGGTCACCAAAGTGAAAAATTTAGTCGCATTGGTGCCTGTATTGGGCGCAATTTCACGCCCTGCATCTGTATCCACCATCACTTCTGCTTCAAACATCACCTCTGTTTTAAGATCATGGAATATGAAAATAAGAACTAGCATAGGTTCAAAAATCCTTATGCCCAAACCTATATTAAACCTCCATCTTCATTCCACATCAAACTCCAAAACATACCATCTATCTCAATTAACACAGGACTTTTTTGACATCAATAGTTGCAGAGTCCTGAACACTCTGACCTTGGCTTTTAACCCCAGCCATCAGAAATGGCTGGGGTTGAAAATGACTTACAACAGACATATTTCATCATGCTTTAAAAATTCCATTATGATACATAAATTTTAGGTGTTATATGAAAACAACTTGAAGGTAATTGCAAAGAGATTAACATATAGATTCCAAGTTGCCATGCGTCTGTTCAGTAATAGATCACAGATGATGTAAAAATGTGGTAAGAATAAAAAAGTGGCAAATGAGGCATAGCCGAGTGTGTCACTGATGTTTTTACAACATTTTGACATCCTCCGTGATCTATTACTGAACAGATGCATGGCAACTTGGAATCTATTTGTTTTATATAATAAAGAATTAAAAAAATTTTAATGATGACATCATCTATACATCTGTCCTCCAATAGATCATATGTGAGAACCAATCAGAATGCATGCATAACTGAGCTTATTATATAAATACAGATACAAACCTGTTTGATAAACTTTTCACTGAAATCACAAGTGGATCCAAACGCTTTAGATCTGAGAGTCATATTTTCTTTGGTTTGGGAGTCAAAGGTTGGATTTTCAATTAAACAATTTATGAAAACCCACAAGTGATTCTTGATCTGAAAAGGCTTCACTTCTACACCTCCTTTATTTTTCCTTTTCACTGCAGCCATGAGCTTCTCTGTGATCTGGTCAGTTATATAGTTGACATGTGTTCCTCCCTATAATAGGAGACATTTTTATCAATACTATTACCATTAAGTTCTTGAGTTACCTCTCTGTCAAGGAAATAATAATGACAGCAAGGTCTAACTAGCAGGACACTATGTTTATTCTGAACAGGAGAAAGTTGCTATGCCTAATTTCTAAAAAAATTGGGACATAGCTCTTGCTGCCTTTATGCACTATTAATCCTATACACCCTAAGGTCAGTATGTATATTCTCCATACTGTTCTCAGTACATCTCTTAAGGTGCTGACAAGGAGAATTTGTCTAACAATCAAGAGGTTCCTTAGTTGGTGATCATTTCTTTTACTCTTGTAAACTTTATGTGTGATTCAAGGGTGATGTTGTAAGGAGAAATTAGATGATAGTCACTCTAAGGGGTTAAAGGGTTAAAGGAGGTTTGAGGTTTTTGGGCACTACAAGGTTCTTTTACTTTGCTTACTTTTGTGCTTGCTGTTTTCCTCTATGCCTCTCCACCATCCACCATCCACCACCCCCCACCCACCACCCACCACCCACCACCCACCACCCCCACCACCCACCACCCACCACCCCCCACCCATACCCCCCACCCCCCACCCATACCCCCCACCTTTGGTAAGCATTTATTCCCCTTTTTAGAGTTGTGTTGAACTGTGCCAACAGGTGGGCTGTTCTTCAGTTGCCATAGTAACCTCTTGACTGCCAACAAGATTACTGCTCGATTTTGTGGCTACCTTTATAACACCTTATTTCAAATAGTCTTGCTGAATTGTTTTCATCCAAGATTTTTTCTTAATGCTCTCCTTAATTTCCATACAATGTTACATTCACCACTCTCCTTGTTCACCTCACCTTTTCATGAATTTTCCAAAGTCTAAGTCAGTAAGGACTAAGGTGATTAAAAAGAATGATTGTTCACTTTGCAAAGGTCAGAAAAATTTCAAATGAAATACTGTATGTTGAACTGTTTTGACAAAAACTGTTAGACAGTTGATGTTTCACAGCTTTAAAGCAGTTTTAGAGAACTTGGCTTGACTATACCTTAGTTGTGGCTATGCTGTTGACAAAGCTAGCTTGCTGAAAACCTTTGGTGCTTGTGGTAACACAAACTTCCCAACGCTTATTTACAACTTCATGCACGACAGAATTGGTCTTTTTCTCTGAGTCACTACCCAATGCCAAGTCATCTTCATCATCTCTGGCTTTCAAGTACAGTCCAACATAATCCTTGAAAGTCTTAATCTGTTGACCATTAAAAATTATTTTTTTCATGAAAAATAAATCGCAAATTGATTTTAATCTACTCATGAATGCTAAACAACACAAAAGGGTATAAGGCAATGCATCATTTATAAAATGTAGATTCTACTTCTGATGTTTGAGTGCAAGGTTGTTGCTAAGTGCTGGCTGCCACAAGAATAAGCAACTATCACTGGCTGGATTTTTGGCTGGCAATCACTTAGTAAAACACAACAGGCACTTCTGAGGTCAGACACTTACAATAAATCAATACTGAATGCTATTGATGAGCTGCCTCACTTGAAATTTCAGCCAGCAGCAAAATTTCTTAGTTACAACACTGTGGCTTGTATGAAGCTTCACCAACTGGACACAGATTTCTGAATAAGACAATAATTCATACTCCTATGGTACAGAAAGAGAGGGTCTGAGAAAGATTTGTGAAGTCCATGATGGTTTTTCCCCATTACCTGATGTACAAGAGATACATGTACTACTGCCTTATCATTACTACAGAGATTTTTCTGTTAAGTAATGGATTTTCAATCAAAATTTCATAACCCAGAAAATAAAATGCATTATCTCTGCTCTGAACAAAAACAAGTAGTTGCACCATATAACTTAGCTACAACTTGTTTATGAAGGTGCTTATAACATGAATATTGCCAACAAATTACATACAGGTAACTTCTTTCCATTGAGATATACAGAAATTCCTCTAACAGAACCAGCAACATCATATGCCCTCCTGGAGAGGAGTGAGATAATGTCTTTATCAAGACTTTCCATTTTAAACTTTGCCAGGTCAGGTTTGAATGTAACACAAGTGAAGTCCTTTCCACTAAAATCCTTTACAATAGGCTCTGTAACTTTTCCCATGTTGTTTGTCCAGGTCTACATACAAGAAAAGGAACAAGTTGAATTGTGTTAGGTGACAAGAAAAAAATTATTCAGGTATAGTATTTCTAAAAGTTTAAAATGAACTATACTATTACTATACTTAACCACACTCTGCTACTATACTCTAATACTCTATGAGCATAAGTAGTCATTTAAATGAATAATCATTTTCCTTTTCTTTTTGATTTTCATTAACTTAATTGCCTCTTCCTGTTATAATGTACACTAGATGTTTACACAACATGGAAATTTCTTCAGGATTCTCTCATTAACTTTAAGGATCATGAAGATCTAACATGTTTTCAAGAACAAAATGTACCTGTTTGAACTTCTTATTTGAGTCAGAGGAACAAGTTTCCACAACAAATTTTGTGCTGAAGATATTACAAAGTTTTGCACCATAACCATTCCTGCCGCCTGTGACTTTTTTCTCCTCATCATTGTAGTTACTGGACGTTAGAAGATGGCCAAATATCAATGTAGGAACATAAACTTTCTGTTCTTTATGCATCTCTACAGGAATGCCACGTCCATCATTCCAAACACTTATAGTGTTACTATCTCTGAAATTTAAACAGAGGAAATAAGCATATTTAAGTTTAACACATAATAGTATTTTACCAGCTTATTGCCAATGTTTCCGAGTTACTATTAATAGTACTTTGGAAAAGAAAAATGCATCTCCATATGGCAGAGGCTAACTCCTATATTGCATTTTCATGCATGCATCTGGAAAAATTTGTAGATAATCCCATACCATTTGACAACAAAGCTGTAGTCCCAAAGACAATCTAAAGTTTCTGTCATTGTTTCCATTTATCTAAGAACTGTCTACATAATCAAATATGGATTAAATGAAATTCTTTCACAGTTACCAGTCTTTAAAATATGAATAAAACTATGTTCACTCGCAGAGTTTTAATTATCCAATGAGCAATTTGGATACCAACTATAGGCTTTGTTCAATTTATGATGTGCCAACCAGCTGTCACACATTACCCTCATAATTAACAGGTTCATTGTATGCACAATAAAAACCTATCAGGATAGCATTACTTGAAAATTAATCCTTTACAACAGGACAGTAAGTGGCTGGAAAGCAAGGAAATGACAACTTTCAAGTAAGTGAACCTGTCAACTATCATTTCAATCATATGATGGGGTCACTATTAAAAAATAGTTTGTTTTGTTAATATGTCACTCACGCATCAATGGTTATTTTAACACAGCCCATGGCAGGGTCTCTCTGCTTGTTATCTGCTGCATTCACTTCAAAATTGAAAGAAACATAACACACAATTATTACATGACTTGTACATTCACACACTTTACTGAATATCATAAACTCACTATTTTCCATAATTCTTAAATATATGGTCTTGGTCAGGAATTTTTTTAAAAAGTTCTTTTTCCTTTTTTTAACAAACCAAAGATGAAAAGTTTAAAAGATAATTTGATTTTATCAACTGACTTAATAACGTAAATTAGCCACTTTAAAGAATTTCTTAAGCTGAACAATGTTTCGATCGTCAGTCCTTCATTAGAGCAAATAATGATAAGTTAATGAGTCAAAGTGAATAATAACAAGTTTATAGCTTGCCGAGGGCCTTATTTTTAAAGTAAAACTAAGCTACAAGTAATGGAAAAACATGAATCCAGTCTGCTCACCTAAAAGTTCATCAAAGATCTTGTAGAGACCAGGCGTATAAGTGATTTCCTTACTCACAATGGCATCAGTCTCTGCATCATAAACCCACATGTTCTGTTTGATTGGCTCAACAGAGCCAATGTAAGTGTCTGGACGGAGAAGAATGTGTTCCAACTGTGTCTTCTTTTGGTAGATCCGCTCAACTGACAGTCGTTTTTTCTTCTTTGCAGCAAAAGCATTGCTCTTGGTATTTTCTCCATTATTCATGATCTCCTGTACAAAAATACAATTCAACAATTTTTAGCTGCTGATGTAGTGTTACATTGGATTCAGAGATTTTCTTACTCAATCCACTTTCCACATCAAGATGAACGATTTATTTATTTATATTTATTTTATTGGAAAGCCAAATGTGTCCACGTTATAAAGGCGGGAAATTGAAAGTATGTTAATCGCGTAAGTTACCATGATATATTCTTCTGTTTCCGTATATACTGTTATCTTTGATTACATTCTAGATGCGGCATGAGAAGTACACCCACAAGATGAAAGTTTGGTACGAAATTCAAAAATTTGGATTCTTCCAATACAACTTAGTACCACGACATCGAACATGCAGTGTCTCATCTACGATTACTCTTACATGGTAGTGATACCGTCTTCTATGCCCCAAAATATCGCCATGTTTTAGTTAAAATAGTCGTTACCTTCAAAGGACTAGTTTCGGCCGCCATCGTTACCGAGAAACGTACCAAATAGCGAGAAAATGTTCTCGCGCCGGTGAGAATCGCGACCACGAAGCGAGCACGACGATAAACGCGACATTTGAGGAAACCGCCACATCCCAATGTTCTACGAATTAGCCAATCACATCTATCGAAGCTTACCATGTGACATGTTTGCTACCCCAACTCTCTACGCGGTATTCAAGATGGCGGGGAAAATGTAACAGTAAAAGTCACGAAATCAAACTGCAACAAAGACGTCAATCTCAAGCAATACGTTTGGACTTGTACTTTTGTGATTGAATCAATTGTTAAGCCATAAGGGAAATTTTTGCGCGATCCATATCGATCCTACACGTGTAATGCTGCACTAAACTCAAAAAACAATCCACCGTATTTGGTGTTCCAGAACATTGTTTGCAATCGTTAGGGACAAGCTGAAATGACAGTGGTTTTCAGTCACTTTCAAGCAAGCACATCGATCACTTTTACACCACATATTTATAATATGATGTGTTAGGCCCAACAGATCATAGACGGCTTTTTTAAAATTTCTCATAATATTAAAATTTCAAATGGAATTGATCGAGGTTATAAAATTATCCTTTAACCATATTGACTACAGATGGCATTAGAGCCTTTCTAGCATGCAATCCTGATCTTGTTTTTTCGTTTGTTTTTAGGTTTTTGTATAGTTTTTTTTACTCCAACATCTTACCTACCGTTAATCACGTTCGTAACAAACTGAACTCGCGCCCGGTGGTCGAGCAGTAGTAAACATGAAAGCACTTCAGATAATTTGGTCATTTAAAAATCCTTTTGTGTAACTGCTCGCCGCTTCTCTATTTTCCATAAGCCACTAGATAGTTTTCCTCATTGTTCACAATAAGGATCCTTTCCGAAAATTTTCGCCATTTTTGGACAACATGTTTTAGAGTTGTAAGCATGAAAGGATTAAGGCACGAGAGGGGTCTGGGATTGAGTAAAATGAAGTTTAAGTCCCCAATATCAGTCTGTTATCTTCAACCAGAGTCGCAAGGAGACAGCGAACTGCTACACCCACTGGAAATACGAATAGGAAATTTAAACCTCACGCGTTTAAGCTGGCCATTTTAATGTCAAATGCAATTAAATTCACACGCTTGATAATTGTATAGAAGCTAAAAAACCGAGGACAGGTGTTATCTTGTTCTCTCCCCAAGAAGAAAAGGTAGGCGTTGGCAATCTAATTAACTCACTAAAATTAAAGCCAACAACCTTTTTATCGTGTCAAAACTTTTATCTCCATAAATAATAATACTAATACTGATAACGATAATAATAATAATAATATCAGTAATAAGATTTTTGCCGAAGCCATAGTTTTTGGTATGATTTCCTGCTCCCCAGCAAGCAAGCGCCCGTAGGCCAGAAATGTTTTTGGGTCTAGTTAAGAGCAGCACAAGAGGTGGAGAGAGTCATTGACAAACTTAGCATTGAAAACCAAAAGGAAGCCTTCTAAATGAAATTTTCTAAGACAACGCCTGCTATTCGTCTGTACTGAAAGCCGAAAAAATAATGATGACGGAACATTTGGTGATGCCGATAATAAATAACAAGATGAAAAGTAAAAGAAAACTGACTTGGCTGGAAAACGATAAAAAATTGAAAAAATAAAACGACGACCTTTTCTTGCTTATTTAACTGCTGGTGAAGCCGCAAAAAAGGGAAAAAAACAAGATTGAGAAACAGCTGTGTCAGTATTTGCCTTCGGAAGAATCTAATTAAAGTTTATTGGAAGAAGGATCGTGTTTTATTACGTTATTTATTATGATTGTTGAAGAAAAAACTGCGTCGATTACATTTTCTGAGTTGAAGAACTGAAACTCGGTGATGAAGAGGAAATGTGCATTATGACTAATTCTCTCCTGATACCGAAAATAGTGCAGTTGTTTTGCTGAAATCATAACAAAATTATAACATCGCGAACTAAGGAAGTAATGAAATAACAAATGATGTAGATGGTCTTGAGTTTCATTTTCAGACGATGAAGATTCAAAAATATCACACCGAGATCATACAAAGGAAGAGAAAAAAAAAGGTGATCGAACGAATACCCATGACAGCCGCTTATTGTGAAGTTCAAATTGAAGTTGGTAACTGTTCAATCAGGGTTATGTCCCACAAAACCAGACTAGAATTCTAAAGTTAACTTTTTCATAGCTTTTAATCACAAATATCTTGATGTCGCCCAGAATGACTCAATTCAAAAATCACGATTTGATATAATTGTAATCTTCTCTCCTTCAATTGCAGCCGAACAATAATCCATTAAATGAAATGGCTCCTCACGTAGATCTATACGTGCTAGCTACATGAGGGAAGTAGATCGAAATTCTATGAATTTTCGAACCCCAGGCGAGTGCGAACTTGAAGATAACCGCACAGATGTTGCTTTTATCGATCAGATTTCTTCTTTCGGCTTGATTTCGACGTATCAGGAACTGTTCTATCTTGTAGTCTGTTCCAATACAGCCATAACCTTACGAAGAAGCACACAAGGTCAAACCTTATCGGTTCCACAAAGGGTTTATCGAGCGAGTTTCTGGGTGTATTGACACCTTTCCACAGCTATATTCCAGGGATATACTTTAGAACCTGATCTACATTTTGTTGAACTTCATCCGGAGAGTATCTTTGAAAAACGGTTCGAACTGAAAAATTTTGTCTAAAAATGTCAAATTAACTTAAAATTTCTCGATTGATCCAAAGCTCTCGAAGTCAAACTTTAATTTTCGTTGGCACATCTGCGGTTGCTTTATCTCAATGGAGAAAGTGAAAAAGTTTTAAAAATCCTGCCTTTCCGAAGTGGTCTCTCGTAGAGTTTCATCACACGTGATTGCAAGACGAAAGAGCGATTCAGTTTCAAAATATAGCAGCGTCAGTTTCTTGTATTTGAAATCCGGTACAGGTAAGAACGTCGCTATTCAACCTTTTGTTTGCTTGCCACGGCAAGGAAAAAATGATGATTAAAAAAAATGTATAGAAAGATATTAGCGAAAAGGAGATAGAATGACCGGGAGGTTCTGATGGAAATACAAAGCATACAAATATTAGACATCTCGTCATCACCTCAAAAATTTTTGCTTTAATAGGAATCTTATATTCCACGCAAAGGATAGATTTTGCAAATTATTTAGAATAGGTATTGAAAATAGTGTCTATGCGAAGAAAAAAAGCAATTCCGAATTTATAAACTTTCCCTCTAAATAATAATCAAATTAGGAAACATAAGAAAGGCCGCGTGACAATGGAAAATGAAAAATGACCAAGCACGCTTTCTTTCTCTTTTCTTCTTTAGTGCGTCAGAGATTTTTATTCAAGGATGATGAAAGATAACAGCATCATTTCTGCCTTGACCAATTACATTTTACTTCGCTTTCCTGGTCGGAATCATAATGCTATTTTGATTTTCGGAAAAATTATAAAAAGAGATACTTGACAGTCATAGCTAACTGGATAGTTGTTGTCGAGCGATCCCTAACAAGGCTAGGAAAACTAAAGAGAAAACTCAGCAATGCCGATTGAGGATAGGTCAATTCCCTACCACTGGGATGAAGAGCCGGTAAGTTTGAGCACAACTAACTTCAGTTCTTGGTATGTTATTTATTTGTTACTTTATTGTTTAGAAAAATAAGTTCAGAAATTAGTTGGCTGCATACATTTATCCGAACTTGCAAGACAAATTTTGTTGAAAGTAAAATACAGATATTCAAATTTTTCCTGATTCCAAGTGACTTCATGAATTAACTTTTGTTGCAAGTTTAGCAAGGAGCGTAGCGATCATTTTCGACTCGGCTCCTTTGCTTTCCCAGATTTGGAATTCGATAACAGAAGGATAGACCACACCCTTCGGCAAACCCTGTAAAAGAAAAACTGGACCAAAGCTCAGAACAACAACGAGCTGCAAAACGTTGATCAGAATTTGGGATTAATAAATACGGTTTTTACGTCACATTAGGCAAAAATATTTAAATCAATCCATGATATTGTAGAGATCTTAACACGGCAAAGCTTGTATGATGTTGTACCCCTTATTAAAACACATTTCCAGGCGTAAATATGTTCTTCTAATCCCTTTTGAAATTACTGAAAATGTGACATTGCAGTTCTCGTAAAGTAATCACATCCTGAACATGTGAGATAGAAAAGAATTTTCACCAATATTTTCTGAGCTCTTATTTTTTCTCTCGCTTTTTCAGGGACAAGGGCCTATAAAGAGTTTTGATGGAGTTTACCGCCAGTGGTTTACCTCGAGACATCGAGTTTTTTCTCTGAATAAAGGCGGTCAGGTCCCTGGACATTGCATGAAGATAGACGGAAATACCGTGAGCGCAGATGCAATCGAAAAAGACGAGAGAGGTATCTACTATTTAGAAACTCCTTCTTTAGCTCCAGCCAACACTCTTATGCAAGGATAGAAAGGCCAAAAGTTCAAGTAAGACACAACGAAGGAACGATGCTTTATCAAATCAAAACAAAAAGAAAATTTAATTTCCTAGTATTCGCTCCAGACATTCAGGCAAGCACTATTTTCATTCTGTTATTTTTACGTCAAAAAAATTCAGTTCTGAAAAGTGGCTCAGAAGAGCCCAAGGAGAATTGATCCTCTTCCTTATGAAATGTCTGCCCCATAAACCGAGCAGTGTTTTCATTTCATTGTGATTTTCTTTTCTGTCCTACAGTAAAATTTCGTTTACACAATTTCACGGAGAATAGGAACGAGACGTGGTACGACTATTATATTATGGAGAATCAGATCAGTGAAGGCTTGGTGGCCATAAACCCAGAGGATGACACTGTCACTGTTAAGGTACCACTCCAAAGAAAACGTACACCCATTAAGTAAAAGCGTCTAACTTCAAACGATAAGATTTCATTAAATGAGTTACAGCTATGATAAGTTTTTCGCGTTTTCGTTTTACGAGACATTTCGCAGAGTTACTATTAAGAATGCTCACACTCTGCATGTACCAGGCACTTGGCATGTACCAGGCATTCCGCATGTACCACGTGCGGACCACGCCTTTCTTTGAGCGTGTGCCGCTAGAAATTAATGGTCAAACCTTTCGTGTAAATATTTTCATAGGAAATAGCAAAGTTATAATTAACGGGGAAAAGTACCAATAACTCAGTTGTTCTATTGCCTTCCAATTTCCAAAAAAGAGAAACTGGTGCAAATGAAAGAAGAATTGTAAATGTTCGTACCCTAATTGAAATCACTGCTAAAATGTATGATCCACCTCCTCTCAAAGCTACACACCGTTCCCCAGGCTCCCTGAACACGATGATTATGACCCCTCTCCTTATATCTTGTATCTTGTTCAACAGCATGCAGATGTAATAGGCTTCAGGACCATTGCACAAGTGAGGAAAGCCAACCTGTTAGATGTGATGTTCATTAAGCAGCAAAAAAAACCTTTGGATGACCAGTTTTGGTTTGAGTCGTGTATCGAGGATGGGAAGAGGCGTGTCCTTGGATTTGACCAAAATGGTATACCCCTGAAAACTACTGAGGTCGAAGCAGGTTCGAAAGAAAGTCTACTGGAGATGAAGCGAGTCTTAATGGCGGAACCATGAGAAGCCCTCTTCTCACCGGCATCCACATTTTCTATGTTATTGAAAACGGTAACAAAATTTTGTTTCCAAAGTAATGAGCAAACTACGAACGCGACAAATCCTTCAACGAGGTCTTGTCGCATGAAATAGCTAATGGCGATACATAGTAAAATTAGCAAGCGAATAAATGCGTAAATAAATGAATTCTTGATTAAAGACAGTGCAGTTGTGTTTACTATGACCAAAGTTCCTTGATGCTTAGAAATTCACCCCTATAAAAAGAACAGTGATCCATTTACAAAAACCTTTTCTTGTAACGCTTTGCAACGACTAATCATAAGACTTAAACGGATATTCCCAAATTCCCAGAGAGTCTGTACCTTCGGCGAATTCAATGCAATAATTTAGAGAAAATTAGAAACATACCATAGTGAACGTAGCCCTCGTAAAATCTAATCTTAGTCTTCATAATTATTTCATATGGAAATTTCTCGAGAATGTGGAAGGGATTGATTTTATATAATTATGTTATGTAATCCTTGTACAATAACTATGTGGTGCCTAGAAATACGCTTTCCTATGACTCAGGGTCCAACAACCTTACATTTTCAATAAGATTAGATGAGACTCGCAACTCATCAAAGATAAGTTGAGTCTCTCTCCTTCAAAATATCTTTTTGTTATTTTCTTTGTCGATTTTCTGTCACAAGATGAGGCATAAACTATGGACTACGGCTAACTGAAAATGAGGGCCAACACCCTTATGAGACCGAAATTCAAAGGCGTTTCCTAGAGACGCTCAGAGAGTTCGGTCTTCTAGGACCTTAGCCATGCACTTACTCACATATCACGTGAGTCGTAGAGGATTTTAATTTGAGGTGCAATGCGCTATCGACTAAATTGTATTCGCACAGCATGTTAAGGTCATAATGATATTGATGCAAATATCAAATTCTAATAACTAACGCCAAACGTAGATTTCCAACCTATCGAACCCTCCATAAGGAATGATTCGGACGTGTGACAACTAGACCTCTATAAGTTGCGTCATCTGTCATACGTGCAATACAATTTTTTGTTTCGTAAAATTTCTTTATTTGGTCAACTCTGGAAACGTGCACTGTTGTTTGTTTTTATTGTCCCAGATATCTCCACCTCTAATGACGTCAAGTAGAATTACAAGAGGAGGGAATTCTTTACTTGTTGAGGCACTCTCGTGGTATTCCTTAGTTAATGACATTCGAAGTTACAATAATTCGATCTGAATGTCATACTGATCTCGATTCGTTAAGGGGAAAGAAAAGCGCGCTACGATAAATTCAACCCGCAGATTGCTTGTTGAGGGCTACATTTCGACGGAAAATTTGATCACGTGAGTCGACGTCACCAGTGGAAATTGTGCGATGATTCGCATCTCAAGTCGAATTGTCTTTTATACACTGAGTCAATAAGAAGCTTTCCGAGCGCACAACAAAAAATTGCCATTTGCTTGATGACGCTGAGCATTCTTCAAAGTGTGCTGAAAGGTTGTAACACTGCTAGGTCTTGGCCTCTCTTACTCCTGGTTCTCTCTCATTTAGCGTTTTACGTCTGTTTCTGGAGTAAACTGAGCCGGCTGGCTACCACTGTAGAACATAGGCTAAATAGCATAGTAGTTCCTTGACAATTTTCACCGGACCCCCTAAACCAGCACTTTTTTTCAAAACGAAACGCAAAGGAACAATATCTATTTCTTCATCTTCCGTAGAGGAAACTTTCATCTCTTACTGAATTTGAAATCGTTGATGATATTTAAATCACAATTGCATGACAGACGAGTACATTGTAACCAAATACTGCGACAGTATAAGAACGTTGGGACACGAAACATGACCATACCCAGTACGACAAAAGGTTCCTTATTTTGCTTTTTCAGTTTTTTCTCAAATTTGGCATCGGGCACCGAGACAGAGGTGAGACTGTAAGCGAAATAAATGATGACGATTCTTATTCATTTTCTATAAGAAGCACAAATCACTACAAAACCATCATGAAATTGAAGGAGAGCCGGGAAACGATATAATCGAATGTTTGCTTCAATAGTATTTGGTATCAGAGGAGCAACTGTAGTTTTACTCAAGCCCATTTGATATGTAGATGAAAACAAAAAAGTCACAGTAACATCTTGTTTCTGAAGAAAAGTCACGTTGATATGAATCGAAAAACTCGAGCAGCAACCGAAAATGACGAGTCATGCTGATGTTTTTCAACTTTTTTAGCTTGATGAGAGACATCCCTCTTTCTATTTCGTCTACAATGCGTCAAACAGTTTTTTCACGGCTGTTTTCAGATGACAACATCCGTTCTGTAAATGTGAAATCTTGCCCGATTGCAGTTTTCTTCGCTTTCCAAATCAGAATCATATGAATATTTATATACATATCTAACCTGATTGCGGGCGCCGAAAAAGGACGAAAAAAGAGACGCTTGACAGTCACAAAGGTTTAACTTTGTTTTGGAGAGAACCTGTGAAAGTCGAGGAAAAGTGTCCAGAAATCTCAGCAATGCCATACATGTACGAGACGCCAGGGGCTGGCTTCTTAGATTTGCCGGTAACTTTGAACTTAATTTATTTTATTATTTACTTGTGAGAAACTCTTGTAGAAGCTTATTGTTTTGAGAAATTACCTCAGTTAACAATACGTTTCTGGGATACTACTGTTCGCTATACAAAGATGCCAGGCCAAGAGGGTTTTCAAAAGCATTATGGGATTTTTATGTCCAAAAAGTTATACATCATCAATTGATCAGTAATTCCATGGAATTAAGGGAGGTAAGTTTCTATAGAAGCTGTAGTACTGCGTCCGTGGGGGGTACTACAAGTCTTACGAGCAAAATTTTTTCTATCAACGGATGTTGATAATGTGAAAGAGATTCTTGCGCTGACGTTTCGAGCGTTAGCCATTCGTCAGAACGGACTGAGGAATTGAAGGTTCTGTGCTGTTTAATAGAGATGGAGATTCTCTATTTGCAAGGACTTGGTAAAACGAAAAACAAAAGAATATATCCGTTGAATGAAAGGCGTTCGGTGATACCGTGAAGATTAAGAGTGCCGATTTGAAAGATAAATTTTTGTTCTAGAGTTTTGCGGCTTTCCGTGCTGCCTAGATTTGGGAAAGGCCGTAAACTGCTAATGTTGTTAAACATGATTAGGGAGATTAAGTTGATTAATGACTGGCTTTGAATGCGTCTTTATCATCAAATAATATTCCTGTTTCGCCGATGTATCCCTTACGCAATAATCTCAAGTGTGCAATGGCGAAAGTACAGGTGAAATGATTAGTAATCTTGAAGAGTCGCTGAGGTTCCGTAATTTGCTTAACGTTATAAATAAAAGCACAAGTTTTGGATCTTACGCAGGCGCATTTAAATGTTTCAGGTTGATTATTTTTTTCGAGTACATTTCTGATCAAAGAATTTCCTATATTTTTGTCACATGTAAATGGAATTCGTGGGGGTTTGGTTAAGATTATACTAATTTCTTGCTTAACTGAGATTTTGTCGGTTTTGTTTTTGAGATAAAGGAACAAAATTAAAGCCCCTATCGTAAGAATTCCTTTGAGTTGGAAAACAGAAGATTTCCTATGATGTAACTACGAAGTCTTAAAGGTTAAGGCTTTCAAGTGATTAGTCACTAGTAGTTAGAGGATTTGCTTAAGTTTTTAGGCCTTGGCATTAGGTGCAAATGGTTAAACATTTTATAACTCGTAGCCCTGCCAATAAATTTTATTGAAATAACTGGACACATTTTAGAAAGTTCAGAGCGGCACCGCAGAATTTGTTTGTAGAGGTCGTTTTGTATTTCCAAGCGACATCTTCAAGACGAATCATTTATTCATGGTTCGTACTGCGATCCTCGTAAGTTAATTTATTGATACCGAGGGAAAGAGGAGAACATTCTCTTGGAAAAACTGAGGTGCAAGAAACAAACCCAGTATCTTCCAAGTTATTCCTTCCTTCTGCCTTTTATTCACTTATAGCAGTTATAAGTAGGCAGATCGATTTAACATTACTGTAGTCGTCAGTAAAGTCAGTTTATCTTAAGCATGAATAGGAAGAACTTATTTTTCACAGCTCTCTCCGAGTTGTTACTATTCTCTTTTTCTTTTTCAGCGACAAGGGCCTCAAAAGAGCACTGATGGAATTTACCGCCAGTGGTTTACCTCGAGACATCGGATTGTGTCTCAGAATAAAGGAGGTCCGGTGGCTGGTCATTATGTGCAGATAGATGGAGATTGCGTGTCCGCAGATGCAGTCGAAAACGAGGACAAAGGTATCTGCTGTCTGTAAGATTTGGTATTTAGGTTTGATTTCTTTCAACAAGGGTAAAATTTCAGGAAGAAGCTCTGAAGGAGCGTTAATTTATCAAATCAAGGCAAAAATAAAATTAGTCCTAGTATTAACCTACTACAGTGAGGACACGTCTGTTTTTCCTTTGGATTTTTCGTTGATTGAAAGCTTTCCATTGACAACACAAACGAAGAGGTGTTAAAATATATTGGCCCAAAACAGCCTAAGGGAGCACTGATTCTCCTTCCTCTTGAAATGTCAGCACCTTAAACCGCGCAGTGCTTTCACTTTCATGGAGATTTCCTCTTCTGTCCTACAGCAAAATTTCATTTCCACAATTTTACGGAAAAGAGGGGCGAGAAGTGGTACGACCATTACATTCTAGAGAATCAGATCAGTAAAGCCTGTATAGCCGTGAACCCTGAAGATGACACCATCACTGTTAAGGTACCGTTTCTGACAAACGTTCGCCCTTCGTGTGAACGTCAAACTTCAAATGAAAAGATTCAAATCAACGAATTATGTTTATGATGAATTTCGTGTTTAACTATTTCAGAGAACATTTGCGAAGATTGTTGCTGACAATGCTTATAATCCGTTTTTATTTATGTACCGCATGCGCACCGCGCCTTCCGTCGTTGGGACATATATACTAAATATTAGCATGCTAAAACAGCGGATGGCGTCGAAGGCGCGCTCTGATTAGCTTCTCAAACTCCAAATATTCTTTGCCATTTACCTCCGAGCAAGGCACGCGGGATTTGCGCCCTAAAATATTGCAACGGTTTTAGGAATAAAATAATCACAAACTTGTTCATGAACTCTATCTAAGCTTAATTTTTTCCGTACTCGTAAACCAAAGCTTAATAGTCAAAACCCGTTGCCAAAATATTTATGAGCAGAACAGAAAAATTAGACTCGAAGGAAAAATGCAGCATTGAGTAAACTATTTGATGTAATCCCCTCAATTTCCAAGAAAGAGCGACGTGAGCAAACCAAAGAACACTGGCAATTTTTGTGCATTCAAACCTGGAAGAAAAGTGAAAATTTCGGTTGAAATTAATGATCCACCTTCTCTCAAAGCTCCTCACCGTTCTCTCTCAGAAGACGATGATTATGAATCTTCTCTGAATGTCTTTTATCTTGTTCAACAGTATGCAGATGTAAGATGCCTCAGAACCATGCTGGAAGTGAAAAAAGCCAACCTTTTAAATCTGGCGTTCATTAAGCTGCAAAAAAGCGTTGTGGATGACTATTTTTGGTTTGAGTCATGTATCGACGATGATAAGAAGCGGGTCCTCGGATTTGACAAAAATGGAGCGCCCCTGAAAACTACTGAGGTCGAACCAGGTTCGAAAGAAAGTCTGCTAGATTCGCATCTGGTCGACATTGAAGAGTCATGAGAATTCTTCCGCAATAATAAACAAACAGCGCACATGAAAATCCTTTGAAAAAGGCTTTGCAACAAACTTAATCACACGTAAGAAAATTAGTAAGAAAATGCATAAGTAAATAAGTTAATAACTACTTTTGAAACTTCCAGTTCTAATGTTTTCGGTTTTTTGATACTCGTTTCTTTTCCAAACCTCCAAATTTACTTACCAGTGGAAAAAAAAGAGAATTGTAGAAGGAAGAAAAGCCGGCAGGGCAAGCGACAGAGTCTGGGTCCGCCACTGCTTACTCGGGTGCAGCCATACTCCTTTCAGACAAAACATGACCCATTAACTAAAGCTCTTCTTGCATTGCTCCACATTGACTAGTGGCCGCACTTTCCGAGAAATAAGCGGGTGGTATGTAATAATCCTCAACTGAAATATTAAGTGTGACTAATAGTTGACTATTTCAAGGTTCAATAGTTGGAAGATTTTCCCAGCTATCAAGTATTAGAAACCACAATCAGAACCAGATTTGGAGAATGGACACTGTCCTTTTCTAGTTTTCAATATCATGCCACGCAAGGCTGCCTCAGTCTCCCTCTTGTTAACGCTCTTTCTCGTCAAATTGTTTCCTCAAAATCAAAGATGCGTTTACTCTTTTCAAAACTTTTTTTGACAGCCTTTGAACGACCACTTTTGATTTGAATTATGTATCGGGGATCACAAAAAGTGGGTCCTGGGACTCAATTAAAATGGTGCAGCCATGAAAACTACGAAAAACATAGTCCAGATAAAGTCTCCTAGAGAAGGAGTGGGTCTCTGTGGAAGAGCAACGATAGGAATTTTTTCGTGCAAATTAAAAAAAATCACAAGCCGGTACCCGATGAAATACATCGCCCAAGGCAGCGTGATCTTGATATTTCGCTTAACGGGATTGAGTCATATTGCATTGAGCTGACCTACCATAGACGAACGAAAGAAAAAAACATCCCCATTAGTTTTGCACCTATGTATTCTGTTACCCGAAAAGTGATTCACTATTATTTCATGAAACTTTAAAGGATGTAGTAAATGTAAGAAGGGTTTGGTCCATGTATAATAAAAAAATTTAAAAGCTGATGAGTGAGCAACCAGTAAATTATTACAAGAAGCATATCATTCTCTATCGGAAAGAGGCATTCTACAGCACAAGTTAGAAAATAAATTGCAGTTAAAACTCCCCCCGAAGGCATTAGCATATGTGTGATTTTCTATAACTTTTAGAGGGCCCTTGACACTGTTAATAATCTTGTCCTGCCAAAAGACTGGAACGGTTTGGGATAAGAGTTGTTATTATCCACAATATTAAATGGTACTTTTCGTCTCTTGTCTAGTTCCAGGGGAGTTAGGTGGATTTAAAACCTGTGTTGTCAGATGGTAATGCTCTCTCTGTTATGAGGGCTACAGTTTATACCTGTTCGTTCATAGAAATGCAGAGGGCCAGTTTTGTCACGTTTTTTTCGGCAACAGTGCATTTGGGATCTACCGATCGAGTTCAAGGCGAGAGGAGGGATCTAAAACTGTGTTGTTACTCTTTCACTTGCTTCTGTACCATTAGGGCTACGATGACTCCTCTTCTCTCCCGAGACAAAATGACTCGTGGAAATCCAATGTTCTTTCATGTGGATTTTCTAGCTTGTCTTAAATCAGTTTTTCCTCATACTCCTGAGAAATGTAAAAAGTGCTACGTAATTTGTAGCAAATTCAAGCTGGTCTTTCCACGCCATAGGCTTTTAACTTTGCCAGCAATAGCCTATGCGGAAGTGAATCGAACGCTTTACAAAGATCATGGAGGTTACGCCAATCATATTACCGTTGTTGAGTTCTCTCTCTTCCAATCCTCGATCATATGAAGAAGGACTATTGAGCATCTGTAATGTTTTCTTTAGGCCGATAGATACTTACTTAAGATTCCTCGAGATCAAGTGACAATAATAATGAAGGCACTTCTCGAACACTTTTTCGATAGCAAGTAGAATGAAAACTAGTCTTTGACCGGTTTAATCAAATTGATCGATTCTCTTGAATACAGGGGTCAATTTAATAAAGAAAATACAATTGCAGTTTTTACACGTGTAATTTACACGGGTAAATTCCGACTTGTAAATACAAGGATTTGAAAAACAATATTCCACACTGAAATTTTTACACGTGCATCTCGAGTCAGTCATCTCGAGTCATGAGTGTAAATAAAAATTTTAGAATTACAATTGTAAAACTGAACAATAAGGTTTTTTAGTAGGGAGATGGATTTTAAGAATCAATTGTAATGGTAAATTTATTTCCGTTAGTTTTAAAAGAGAGTTTTTTACGGTTAATTTTTTTTATGACTAATAGTTAAAATTTGTAAATTTTCACTCCTAACGGGTAATTTTCTTTTAGCTGTTTCACAGCTTACGATTAACCCTATTGAGACCCTCCTACAACGATAGACTCCACTTAAATGTAAGTTTAATTTTAACATATGCAGTTTAAAATCGCTACTTTCCCTTCAATACATGCAGCTTTGTTTCGTTTATTTACAATTTCATTCTTGAACAGCCGTTGAGCATGTTATCCAAACAGCAAAAGTGGCTTCAGGCTTAGCCTGTGAGGGAACATAAAATGATAGTTTTGGCGCCACTTTCATCAACAGTGACAAAGAAAGTAAAGCACGCAGCGTGGAAAAAGTTTCTCACGCAATTAAACGGCGTTGGCGCAAACATGTACAGCGCCCAAACCCTCCGATGTTTTATGGACAAACATTCGCAGGCTAGTTCTACACTAAAAAAGGTAAACGAATCAAGGAAGGCTGGTGCAGGGCGATAGAAGGAATTTGTTCTAAGGAGGTGGAGATATACTAAAAGTTGCTGTCTTGCCGTTACTGCCGCATGCTCTCGTAAGTCTCGATCTATGCTCCAAATGCGGGCTTATTAATTCGAAAAGGTGGACGGAGGCGTCCACAAGCAGACGAAACATTTCTTGAAATTTCCTTGATTTTCGATTTCGAAAAGCCGTTTTTTTCAGAAATTCCTAGTTTGGCGGATAACTTGATGTCTCAGCAGCTCGTCGAGTTCCCCCTAAATAGTACAAACAAGATTCTCCGTACCTCAACGATTTGATAGTCATTTTGTTTACATTCAGACTTTTCAGAATATTTGACATCTGTGCTATTCAGGATTCATCATGAAGTGAGACATTTTCTCTGATTGCTAATACAATGACATCAAAGTTTGAAACTAAGCCGCAACTTGAGACGAAATATTTATTCAATGTTTTTGCAACTTCGACCTTATCTTTGATGAGTGTTCGATTTTCGATAAGACATATTTCCATTTTGTGATCTTCGGTTTTTGAGTGCACAATAAGGCCTGAAGGTATTCCAAAATTCGCTTGGTTCCTTTACGTTTTATCTGCTTTTTACTTCAGGTAGGAGGCAATTGCTCTCCTTCTTACACTAACTAACTTTGTTTCTTGTAACCATTCCAGTCAAAGTCCAATTCTGTTCTAATAAATATCTTATGAAGCTTATTGCTTCTCTGAATGGCGTTTTTTAATACAGTAGTCATGAATGCCACTAGCTCGTTTGACTCTTTTCAAAGGATCAAAGTATCACTCGAAGCCTTGGGGAAATGCCTATGTGCTGTCGCGAAAAGCTAACAGAATGATAATATTTGCTTCAACGAGGGAGAATTCATGTTAGCCATTTTATAGCATAGTCATAAACGAGCACATCTCGAACTCAGCTCTAATGTTGACAAAGCTAGTGGAAAATGGGAACCGTGACAGCTGCACAGTGAATGATTTAATTATTCCGCTTTTATACAGAAATAGCAAATTTTAAACCAGCTAGTGTGTAAGGGGGAGACGAAGTTGTAGCGGTGGAACCGCCCTTTAAAATTGTTTCCCTTTTTTCAGATTTCATGTTTATGAGATGTTCCCAATTTAACAAAATTAAAATACCCTTAAAGGAGAAGCTTTGGTTCTTTCGTCCTGGCGCAAGAAAAAAAATGGTTCATGATATTGATATGGCAAGAATGGTCTCTTAAAAATATCTATTAAAAGCGGTAAAAAAATTAAATTACAGCTGATGGTTCCGGAGCACTAGTCCCTTAGAGGCCTTTTTGTAGTCTAATCGTCCTATTCTCGTTAAAAATTAAAAAGGGACGGAAGGAAGAAAAAGAAAAAGAAAAGGAAAATATATAATTTCAGAAGTTTTAATATTGAGACCACGCTTTAATGTTGTTACCCTATCTATTTTTTCAGTTTGGTGCGGTATTCGAATTTTAGCCGAAAAACGGGAGGAACACACAGAGATGTGGTTCCATTTTATGCAAAATACTTAAAATTAACAAATTGATATTTCACTGACAGAGGAGTCTCCACTAAAGCAATACGACAAATGGCAAATATAATCGGAAATAGAGTGTGTTGTTTTCGTAATCGTAATAATCAGTCTGGTTAGGAACCAATATACTCAAGTTACATAACCAAACCCATTGAATTATGTAAGTAACTAACATATAAAAAGTGTGCTATAGTTTTACTCTACTAGCAGCAAAAATTTTCTGCGGTAAAGGAAAGTTACGTCTTTTTTTAAAACCAGGTTAAATCAGTCTCTTGGTGGCGTAGTTGCGATGCCAAAACCTTTTAATTGTCGAGCCTGCTTTCAAAATGTCTTAAGACATTATGTAACTACTTGATAAAACTTTCCATTTGCAGCTGCATCAGGGTTCGGCTGGATGACAGGTTTATTTCATATAAGCTAAAGCTTAGATTAGGTGGGGTAAGTGAGGATCGGCATTTACAGCTAATTTCTTTCCACGAAGATAAGAAGATAATAAAGATTTAACAAATGATGTCGTTAGACAATAATAAATGGCAAAGATTGTCAGTTTGACGGCTTCTATTAGATCGTGTGGGTCTCTGTTAAATCGTTTCACAAGCTATATTATAGTCCTTCGTTTTCATTCCATAAGCGGAAGCTAAAGGAAGGCTATTGACGAATT